AGAAAGAGTTCCAGGTATGCTGACTCACACTTCTCTCTTTCCGTTTCTTCCACAACCTCATTTTAAGTTTCGATTATTGTGCCTCATACATATTTGTCTAACTGTATGTATTCTATGAAGTTTCAGCCTGCGTGATGAAGCGTGTTCTGGCATGTCCAATGTAGGGTAGTTGGAGGCCCAAATGTTGACTCAAGCAGAGTTGCTGAGTCACAGAGATGACACCATGTCTTGTTTAATGCAACAATAAAGGTGGGAAAGAGGCCACAACTGAGTCATTTTTTACATGACACAACTGCCAACTTTTCCATTGACCTCGGCTGTTGGATTCCACAGGAACCTTCATGAGATCAGACAGTGCTGGATACAGTAAAATGTCACTCAAAGAAGGTCTAATCAGGTGATAGATAGATAGATAGATAGATAGATAGATAGATAGATAGATAGATAGATAGATAGATAGATATACAGTAAAATGTCACTCAAAGAAGGTCTAATAAGGTGATAGATAGATAGATAGATAGATAGATAGATAGATAGATAGATAGATAGATAGACAGATAGATAGATAATAGATAGATAGATATAGAGATATATAGTAAAATGTCACTCAAAGAAGGTCTAATCAGGTGATAGATAGATAGATAGATAGATAGATAGATAGATAGATAGATAGATATACAGTAAAAATGTCACTCAAAGAAGGTCTAATAAGGTGATAGATAGATAGATAGATAGATAGATAGATAGATAGATAGATAGATAGATAGATAGATAGATAGATAATAGATAGATATAGAGTTATACAGTAAAATGTCACTCAAAGAAGGTCTAATCAGGTGATAGATAGATAGATAGATAGATAGATAGATAGATAGATAGATAGATAGATAGATAGATAGATAGATAGATACTGGCTTTTAGCCCTGACGATGTTGGGAGTCCCCAGCGAAAGCTTGGCGGTTTTTAGTAAAGTATTTTTTATACCTAAATTCTCCTGGTGATCGTATTTTATTTATATTATAAACATGCCCAGGAGTCGTATTTTTATGGATATCATTCAATAGATAGATAGATAGATCACTTGGTGATCTACAAATGAATACAAATTTGTGTGTTCCGAATTTGACCCATCACTGCAACCAGAGTACCACAGCATCCACCGTTCCCACTATTTTTTTTTAAAAAAAAAACAAGAGTAAACATCTCAAAGATTTTTTTTTTTAAATGATGATTTTGGTTTTATTGTTATTGTGCTGATGTTGCCAGTCCTGCCATTTGCTATGCTTGTGTAACTACATTAGAATTGACAGCCTGATTTTTTTTTTTTTTTTTTTTTGGTGTGTATGTTGTTTTGTTTGTGACAAGTTTCTCAGGTTGAACAACTACCTGGAGTTAGATACCACAGCATGTATGCCGGGAAAGGCTCTACAAATTGAATTCAGCTGATGCAGAAGAAAAAGAATGTATTTATTTATTAATCACGTCTATATAGCCACTCCTCTCACGCAAAGGGGGGGGGAAAGAGAGAGAGAAAAGAGAAGGGGTCTGTTGAAGTCTTTACTTTTCTGTGTGAAACCGGAAGGCAAGAACTTGTGATGTAAGAAATTCAAAGGCAAGCAAAAATAAAAAATAAAAAAATGGCACTAACAGATTGGTCTGCCCTGGTGGTTATTACATAATCTTGGGCAGAAATGAGGAACAGAATCTGCGCAAAAAAAGTGTTTTGAAGTTCTGAATGGGAAAAAAATATATAAAAATAAAGCAGAACAGCCTTCTAAAGTGGAAAGGAAGGAGAAGCTAACAATAGTTCAGACCAGTCTTTCCACAATTTTTACCCAGCAAGTAATGGGAGGTGAGCTTTGTATCCAAACTCAAGAGAGGAGTTTAACTACAGGTTTAATTGTATAGATAATTCTTTATTCCCTCCAGGGTCAATTAATTATCAGCGCCAGTCCTCTCCTGTCAAGCCTATTATTTAAAACCTGACTTTATTTATCTGTATCTTCGCCTGCTGCTTCTCTTTTTCCTCCCTGTTAAAACCATTCCAAGGTTCTTTTTGAATATATCCCCACAAATTGCATATTCTTTTCCCTGAACACATGTCATACATACATAGCCTCTGCTTTTAGAGAATTGGGAATAGTTTTCAAACGCTGAGAGCGTCTCGGGCTGCTTTACAAAGTCTACCATCTGTTAGGCAGAGGTGTCCATAGGATTTGGTGAAAGAAGGTGTGCATTAAACAAAAAACAGACAGAGCTGGATCACATCTTCATAACCACCATCCTGAGTTTTTGGACCGCACGGTGTGGATACACTTGATGTTGGACAAATCAAAGTTCCCTAAATCTCCCATTCACCAGAAGGGCTTATTCAGTAGGACAGTGTTGGCGAACCTATGGCATGTGTGCCAGAGGGGGCACTCAGAGCCCTCTCTGTGAGCACACACGCCTCGCTCTGTGGCTAAGTTTTCACAGGAAAAAGCCATTTCTCAAGCCCCTTCCTAGCCCAAACAAGACTCTGGAACGAGCATGCTTCGCTCTTCTTAAGAGCAATCCTGCGAAAATAAGCATCGAGAGCGAGCATGCTCGCTCTGGAGGCTTGTTTTGGCTAGGAAGGGGCTTGAGAAATGTGTTGCTTTCAAACTTACAAAGTATGAGCCAAGGTTAGACAAATTATCAGCATGCATACAACAGCAAAAATCACATTAATTGTTTAAAAGCATCTTCTTCTTGTGCCATATCCGTTATCGGATGTTGGTGATCAAGTTGGCGATCCTGTTTTTATCAGCAACTGCACAAAAAAGTGCTGCTGACTTTTGTCCAAACCAGTCCCTTAGATTTTGAAGCCACGATGTTCTTCTTTTGCCTGGACCTCGTTTGCCTTCAATCTTTCCCTGGAGGATTAAATGCCGTATTTTTCTGGGTGTCACATCACATGTCTGAAATATTCTAATTTTCATTTTTTAATTGTTTTGATGATTTCCCTTGGCTTTCCCAGGCAGCTTATCACCTCCTCATTTCTGATCTTGTGAACCCAGCTTATACGTAACAGCCACCTGTAAATCCATATTTCGAATGCTTCTAGTCTCTTCAGGTGGCCTTCTGTCAGAGACCAACTCTCTACTCCATAAAGCAGGATAGAAAAAATATAGCATCTGACAAGCCTGATTTTCAGTCTTAGGCTTATGTCGTGACTGCAGAAGACCTTTTTCATTTTGAAGAATGCTGTTCGAGCTTTCTCTATCCTTGTCTTTACTTCAGCGATCATGTCCCAGCTTTCATATAAATTAGAACCAAGATGCGTGATCCTTTCAACTTTTTCTAGTGGTATTCCTTCTGAATTTATTGGTGGTTTCAAAAGCATGCCAAATGCAAACTTTTACCTTTCAATAAAAAGTTGTTTGTATCATTGAAAGCTTTGTTGTTGTGTTTTTCTTTTAAGACAAAGGATGTTAATGTATGAGTTGTTTTTTTTCTAAACTAAAACCTCAGTATTCAGATTAAATTGCCGTGTTGGCACTTTGCGATAAATAAATGGGTTTTGGGTTTCAGTTTGGGCACTCAGTCTCTAAAAAGTTTGCCCTCACTGCAGTAAGAGAAGCAGGGTAAAATAGGTAGTCCTCAACTTACGACCATAGCTGAACCCAAAATTTCTGGTGCTAAGGGAGATGGTTATTTAAGTGAGTTTTGTCCTGTTTTACAAGCTTTCTTCCCGCAATTGTTAAGTGAATCACTGTATTTGTTAAGTTAGTCATGGGGTTGTTAAGTGAATCAGGCTTCCCCATTGAATTTGCTTGTCAGAAGGTCACAAAAGGGGATGACTATGGGACGCTGTGACCGTCATAAATATGAACCAGTTGCGAACCGTCTGAATTTTGATCACCTGAGCCCGAGGATGCTGCAGTGTTTGTAAGTGTGAAAACAGCTGTAATCACTTTTTTCAGTGTTGCTGTAAGTTTGAATGGTCACCAAACAGATGGTTGTAAGTTGAAGACTACCTGTATTTCTTTGGAGGAAAGTGAAACAGCTTTAGCATCTCTGTATCTTGATGGACAGAGAGCGATCAAGGAGAGAAGCAACCTAGAACTAAGGAGGAATTTCCTGACAGTTAGAACAATTAGCCAGTGGAACAACCTGCCTCCAGAGGTTGTGTGTGTGCGGCAATGCTGGGTGTTTTTAAGAAAAGGTTAGGGAAAGGGAAGGGAAGGGAAGGAAAGGAAAGGTAAAAAGAAGAAAGGAAAGGAAAAAAGAGGAAAGGAAAGGAAAGGTAAAAAGAGGAAAGGAAAGGTAAAAAGAGGAAAGGAAAGGTAAAAAGAGGAAAGGAAAAAAGAGGAAAGGAAAGGAAAGGAAAAAAGGAAAGGAAAGGAAAGGAAAAAAGAGGAAAGGAAAGGAAAGGAAAGGAAAAAAAGAAAGGAAAGGTAAAAAGAAGAAAGGAAAGGAAAAAAGAGGAAAGGAAAGGTAAAAAGAGGAAAGAAAAGAAAAAAGAGGAAAGGAAAGGAAAGGAAAAAAGGAAAGGAAAGGAAAGGAAAAAAGAGGAAAGGAAAGGAAAAAAGAGGAAAGGAAAGGAGAAGAGAAGAGAAGAGAAGAGAAGAGGAAAGAAAAGAAAAGAAAAAGAAAAAAAAGAAAAAAAAAGAAAAGAACCATTTGTCTGAAGTGATATAGGGTTTCCTGCCTGAGCAGGGGAGTTGGACTAGAAGATCTCCAAGGTCCCTTCCAACTCTGTTATTCTATTATATACATGAGATTTACCCTCCCCCCCACCGGCAACTGCCATGACCTCTCACTTGATGGAGAAAACAGGAATTCCTGTTCAATGGCTTCCATCATCTTTGTCATCTCTTGCTTCTCCAAGTTCAGACTTGCCTCTAATTACTGTTCTCTCCTGGATAAAGAATGTCAAACAAAACACCCAAAAATACCCCTCAACTGGCTGTTCTAGTTCCCGATCAGGGCGTCACCCAGGCAAGTACCTTCCAAGTGCTGGGAAAGGGAAGTGATGGGTTAGAGAGTGGGATGAGGTGTATGGAAAAAAGCCCTCCAGGCTAGCAAGAAGCTGCTGAACAGTCAAGTCTAAGGAGGCGTGGCTGGGGGGGGGTTGAGAAGGAACGCCCTCCCAGAGCCATCAACTTATATTTAATGTTTAAGCAAGTTTGATCTTTTAAGGACTTGACAGAAGCACGTTCTCAAGACCGGCAAAAAGAAAGAAACAAGGCAAGGTTGGGACTTAGCCGACGTTATGATGGGTGCCTACCTCCAGCTCCGGATAAGCCCATCTGTCCTTCTGGTGGCCTTGACGTTTTCCATGAAAGGTAGGAGATGGAAGATCGTATGACATCTGCTACAGCTTCAGGATAAACCATGTCAGAGCTAGGAATGCTTGGAAGCAAGGGGTAGCCTCTGGAATAAGTCTGGATGAAGAGTTCAGTTGTCCATGGTGATTAGATCCTCTGAGCTCTCGGGGTTCAGCTTTCAGGAATGGTCATTTTGCGTCTCTATCTAGCCGTTGAAATTCTGGCACAAGGAAAGCATGGGAGATATGAAATGAGAGACTCAGACTTACCCCCTTCGGCTCATTGCTATGCCTATTTATAATAAATCTAAATTCTAGTTAAACAAACCCTTAAATGAAAGATTTTTCAGGGCGTTAACCATACCAGGTTCAAATAAAAAACTGGTGCATTTGCTTGGCATAAATACGTGGAGGTTCCAAAATGGTTGCTCCAAAGATCAAAGCAAATTTTTTTAGGCCATGCTGTTGCACATTTGTGCCCACTGCGGTATATATTTACATTATTGTGCTAGTTTTTTAATTGGTTTTAATTAATATGATTGTTCGCCGCCACCCAGGCTTATTGTTTGAATGGGTGGCCATATAAATTGAATAAATAAATTATCTTAGATTACTGTATTTCCTTTCTCTAAGATAGATCTTGTGGCAAATCTGTCTGTCTGTCTGTCTGTCTGTCTGTCTACCTACCTACCTACAGCTATCTATCTATCTATCTATCTATCTATCTATCTATCTATCTATCTATCTATCTATCTACCTATCTACCTACCTATTTATGTATGTTTCTATGTTTCTACCTATTTCTATCTCAGTCCTATCTATCTATCTATCTATCTATCTATCTATCTATCTATCTATCTATCTATCTATCTCTATCTATCTATCTATCTATCTATCTATCTATCTATCTATATCTACCTATTTATGTATGTTTCTATGTTTCTACCTATGTTTCTATCTCACTTATCTATCTATCTATCTATCTATCTATCTATCTATCTATCTATCTATCTATCTACCTACCTACCTACCTACCTACCTACCTACCTACCTACCTACCTATCTTTCCTTCAAAAGAAAGTTTCCCTTCTTTTTTCTATCTATCTTTTTTTCTATCATAAAATAATAGAGGCCATTTCTATTTGTGAGTTGAGATGCACAGCTGAAAAAGCCAGGCTGATAAATTGTGAGGACAGTTGCACTATTCAGGTCAGTGGTAAATTTTGTCATATGGAGTATGGCATGGCTTCATTTATCCACTTCATGTATTTCTCAGCATTGTTCGGAGGATAGGCTATGGCAGTTCCCCTGTGTACCTGTCTGAATTGTTTAAAGGGAAAATAAAAAAACAGCAGCTGTAACTCCATTTCAGAGTTCCTCAACCTCAACAGCTTTAAGATGCGTGGACTTCAACTCCCAGAATTCCTCAACCAGCCATTCTGGCTGGGGAACATTGAGTGGTGAATTCCACCCATCTTAAAGCTCTTGAGGTAGGAAAAACCCCATTCTATTTGACTGAGGACATAATAAGGCAACCTGGTTTTGGTCCCTTCCCAATACAAGTTAGGAAAATCATAAAGGCATGTTGGTTCCTCATTATCCTCATACCTTCAGCTATAGCAGTGGTTCTCAATCTTTTTAATGCCGCGACCCCCAACCGGTTGTAAGTCGAGGACTAAACCGGTCGTAAGTCGAGGACTAAACCGGTCGTAAGTCGAGGACTAAACCGGTTGTAAGTCAAGGACTACCCAATCAGTCATAAGTCGAGGACTTTCCCTGCCCGGGAGCGCCGCTCATGCATGGTGCCGCTTCCTGCATCGGCCGAGGCGTAGCTGGCAAGCAGCAGAGACGGAGCAGGCCGACCACCGGCTGGGCCACCAGCTGGCCCAGCCCAAGGGAGTTAAGGCACCCATCGGAAAAGGGTGAAAAAAATGGCAGACAGCCTTGCTTGGTGACCCCCGTGAAATGGTCGATCAACCCCAAATGGGGTTGCAACCCATAAGTTGAGAACCCCTGAGCTATAGGAAGACTGAGAGATGTGGTGACCATGAATCTCATCAAGCAAATGATCATTTATTTAGGTAGACACATCAGGAAATGGTCACCCATTGGGTCTGTGAGGCTGAAGAGGATTTTACCACAGATCTCTGAACCTTACTGAAGATCTGGGGAAACAGGATCTTGGCCTCCATTCTCTTTACCTCATAAAGAGCTGATAGAACCAACCATTTCCTCAAAGGCAAGAGGGAGATGACATCACAAATGTCATGAGGTCATTGTACAAATGACAAGAATTTTGGAGTTGACCTAATTTGGGCCCTGCGTGATGTGACTTCTGACCCATGCCAAGGCAGGCAAGCTCAGATCAACAGGCAATGCCTTACCATCTGAGGAAAAAATATGTTTTTATAAGCCCATCTTCTCTTCCACAATCAACCCCAAAGGCTAAAAGGAAAGATAACCATAATTCAAAGAACAAAATAAACCATGATTTAGGTGCTTGCCTCTTCTCCAGTAGGCATCTTTAGAAGCCTAATGTCCACCACATCCCACAAACCTACAACTAGCTATTCAGCATAAGCTTGCTGTGTATCTGCGTACGCAATATTTTATAAAATGGGGAGAAAGGATAGAAGAAATCTTGTTTTAGGATGCTTAACCATTGATTCTATAAAACTAGAAAGAGCGGTTAGAAATAAAACCAAGATAACTTCAAAACAAGAAAATAGGAGTGCTGAATAGAAGGGGATTCCAAACATGTCGTGCGATTGTGCAATCAAACTCATACCTGCCTCAAATGGGAGACTGGATGGATCTCTCTTCAACAGGATGTTTGACTCTACCGGACTCAACGGTTCCTTTCAGTTCTAAGTCCTCCTTCTCAAGACTTTGTTTTCCAGGGATAGTCAGTTCTTTAGGATTATACCACACAGGTAGCTTTGTCAGCAAGGAATCATTATGCCAGCCACAGAAATCCCAGACTGAACAAAGTTATGCAATAATCTGACTTAAAGCACAACTGGGAAAATCAATTCAATAACCATTTTTGTTGCTGTTGTTAATTGCGAAGTCGTGTCTGACCCATTGCAACCCCATGGACAACGTTCCTCCAGGTCTTCCTCTCCTCCACCATCTTCTGGAGTCCATTTAAGTTCACACCTACTGCTTCAGTGACTCCATCCAGCCACCTTATTCTCTGTCGTCCCATTCTTCTATTGCCCTCAATCTTTCCCAGCATTAGTCTCTTCTCCAGTGAGTCCTTCCTTCTCATTAGGTGGCCAAAGTACTTGAGTTTCAACAGGATGTGGTCTTCTAAAGAGCAGTCAGGGTTGATTTCCTCTAGGACTGACTGGTTGGATGCTTTGCAGTCCAGGGGACTCGCAGGAGTCTTCTCCAGCACCATAGTTCAAAGGCCTCAATTCTTTGTCACTCAGCCTTTTTTATGGTCCAACTTTCACAGCCATACATTGCAACTGGGAAAACCATGGCCTGGACTATACGCACTTTTGTTGGCAGGGTGATGTCTCTGCTTTTTAGTGTGCTGTCTAGATTTGCCATAGCTTTCCTCCCCAGGAGCAAGCGTCTTTTCATTTCTTGGCTGCAGTCCCCATCTGTGGTGATCTTGGATCCCAGGAAAATAAAATCCGTTTTAGAGTTATCTAAGTCAGTTTATTGTCCAGAACTACTTCTGGTGAGAGGCATCCATATCTAGACTTCCACCGTTCCAGAATGAGCTGTGCACCTGGGTGATCTCACAGCACTGTTTTGATTTGATGGCTAGATTCAATTATTTCCAAATATGTTTGTGGCTTATTGAAAACCGCAGAAAACATGGGTCTTTCTTTGAACTGCTGCAACTGTGGGAAGTTTGTGGGTGACCTGTTTCCTCATTGGTAAGAGCTCTGCCTTCACCCTGCCCCTCAGCCTCCAGATATCCTAACAGGTCTTTCAAGGAAAAAGGCAGTTTTGGTGGTTTGGTGGTTCTTATTTGCTCATTTGATTATTTGCATTTCAGCAGACAAATATAACATGAGTAAAGACAAGGGTGCAGAGGGCAAGCAGAATATCAGAGTTGAAAGGGACCTTGGAGGTCTTCTAGTCAAACCCTCTGCTCAATCAGTGAAACTTATTCCATTCTGGACAAATGGTTGTCCAATCTCTTCTTTAAAGCCTCCACTGATGGAGCTCCCACAACTTCTGAAGGCAAGCTGTTACACCAGTTAATTGTTCTCACTTTCAGAAAATTTTTCCTTAGTTCTAGGTTGCTTCTCCCCTTGATTAGTTTCCACCAGTTGCTTCTTCTCCTGCCTTCAGGTATTTTGGAGAATAGGTTGACCCCCTCTTGTTTGTGGCAGCCCCTTAGAATACTGTTATCATCTCACCCCGAGTCCTTCTCTTCGTTAAACTAGACATACCCAATTCCAGCAACTGTTCTTTGTATATTTTAGCCTCCTGTCCCTTAATCATCTTTGTTGCTCTTCTCTGCACTCTTTCTAAAGTCTCACCATCTTTTTTATATCATGGCAACCAAAACTGGATGCAGTATTCCAAGTGTGGCCTTACCAAGGCATTGTAAAATGGTATTAACACTTCATGTGATCTTGATTCTATCCCTCTGTTAATGCAGCCTAGGACTGTGTTGGCCTTCTTGGCAGCTGCAGCACACAGCTGGCTCATATTTAAGTGATTGTCCACTAGGACTCCGAGATCCCTCTCTCTGTTATTCCTATTGAGCCAAATGCCACCTATTCTATACCTGTGCATTTGATTTTTCTTGCCTAAAGGTAGAACATTTTCCCGTTTGTGTGAAAGGATGGAGTGGGGAGGGTTTTTAAGTTTTTAGCATTGGGATAGGAGAGCGGCTTTTGTGCCTGGTTTCAGCATGTTGAGAACTGTGGATTGTAATTCAATGCATCTTTCAAAAAGTTAGGGAGTAGAAAAAAAGGGTGTGTGAAAGTCTCCTGGCTTAGCTTCAATATGGATGACACAAATCAATCCATATGCAAGTTCCTGTATTAATGAAAGCTACTCTATACTGTTTAAAAAGTTCTTAGTTTCTGGAGAAGCAGCTACAACGAGCAAACTGGGAGAGCAGTTGGACACACATGAGGCTGTGTGCCCATTGTGCTCTCACAGGTGGAAACATTCGTATGAGTCTCACCTTGGGTGGGGTCATCAGGATTAATGCAATTACCCGGCGTGGATGAACAGGAGCGGAGAATGAAAGAGCTGAGAAGGATATGGAGGAGAAAAACAGGGCGGAAGAGGCTATAATGAAAAAGCAGAGATCTGCAGATTAAGGTGAATAAGTAGGAGCAGGTGGAGATGGTTGGGAAGAAGCGCCAAAAACATTCAAAACAAGATGAGCCATCAAGTGGGGGGTGGGAGGGGGGGACATAGATTACTATTTTCCAAGTTGGATTCAGGAGATGCCCAGGAGGGAAAAAGGAAACACAAGGAGAGTCCTTTGTGGGTCAAACATCTACTCTCAAATTATTAATGTCCAAAATGTATGTTAGATGCTAACATCGGGGCCTGGCAACCTGCAAATTCACCGTGCAAATTAGACAGTGAATGAAATGGAGCCCTGAGTTTTCTTTAGGAATCACGTGAAAATTCCACTTTTGCAGTGTGATTCGCCTACAACCAGATTGATGAGTCCCTGAAAGCATTCATCTGCTTCCTTTAGATGCTTAATTTGGATGTGATCTCGCGATCAGACCACAGATGGCTTTTTCCTTTCTTATCACTTCAATCTTGGAGCTATTCAGGAGTCCTAGGGAAAACAGAATAACAGAGTTGGAAGTGATCTTGAAGGTCTTCTAGTCCAACCCACTGCTCAAGCAGAAAACCTTAGACCAGGGATAGGCAACCTTGGCTCTTTTATGATTCACGGACTTCAACTCCCAGAATTCCTGAGCCAGCATGGCTCAGCATGGAAACCTCTCCCTTTCCCCTCAGCATGGCTGGCTCAGGGATTCTGGGAGTTGAAGTCCACAAGTCATAAAGGAGCCAAGGTTGCCTACCCCTGCCCTAGACCATTTCAGACAAATAGTTGTCAAATTTCTTCTGAAAAGCCTCCAGTGTTGGAGCACCCACAATTTCTGGAGGTGATTGTTCCTCTTTTAATGAGGTTGTGACGAGCTGAGAAGAAGAAGAATGGCCTTCAGAATGAAAGAAAATTTGACCGTGGTCCTTCAAGCCCCAAAGTTCATCTCAGCTTCCTGTGAAAGTCCACACCAGGGGTGTCCAACCTTGGCAAATTTAGAATTTCTGGACTTCAACTCCATGCTGGCTGGGGAGTTCGGGCAGTTGAAGTCTACACGTCTTAAAATTGCCACGGTTGGACACCTCTGGTCTACAAAAGTATATTTGTACTCTTTTAATTGGGTTTTTCTCATCTTTGGACATCTGCCCGATACAGGTGCCTTGGCTCTGGAGTGTCACAGCTGTGTGGACCTGGGTGACGGCGGTTGCAGTCAACAGCACTTGAAAAAGCTGATCTGCCCAAGCAATGCCCATGTCTGTGTGGAAACCGTGGCTGCTGTGGAATGGAGTGAGTAACCACGAATGCTTTTTTCTAGCCCCAAAGGGGATGTGTCACCACAGGGTTGAGTTTTGAATTCCTTCTTTAGTTCTACAAGTTCAACTGATTCCTAGTTATGACAGTTGCAGTGTCCCGGGGTTACGTGATCATCTTTTGGGACTTTCTGAGAAGCAAAGTCAATGGGGAAGCCAGTTTCACTTAACAACCAGGACATAGCACAGAAGCGCTGCTTGAGCAGGGTCCGTAAGATTATCTGGGACACTACACACCCTCTTCACGACCTGTTTTCCTTGTTACCTTCTGGGAGGAGGCTTCGTGGTATCCGAAGCAGAACATCCAGATTCAGCCAGAGTTGCATTCCATACAGCATTAACCTTGTGAACTCTCAGGCCTCCTCCTTCCGTTATATATTCAAGATGGACAATATTTAATATTTAGGTCTTTGGTTGTTCGGGTTTTCTCCCGCGTAAAATTGGAAGTGTCTTGGCGACGTTTCGATGAAGTCCCATTCGTCATCTTCAGGCTGGTGTTTTCAGCTTCGTGCTCCTCGAAGCACGAAGCTGAAAACACCAGCCTGAAGATGACGAATGGGACTTCGTCGAAACGTCGCCAAGACACTTCCAATTTTACGCGGGAGAAAACCCGAATAACCAAAGACCTACATACAAACACCCGCGAAAACCTCAGAAAACAAATATTTAATATTTATTGCTACGTATATGTAGGGATGTGGGTCTGTACATATGTTGTTCATAGTATGTTGAGGTGTGTGTCATGTATGTGTTTCACTTTGAAAGCGGGCAACTAAATTTCATTTTTGAAGTGTGCCATTGTGCCCACAGAATAAAAATGATAATAAAAGTTATCTTATCTTATCTAAAATCGGGCAAAATTCACTTAACAAGTGTCTTTGCTTAGCACCAATTCACCTCAATTCTGATCGTCAAGTCGAGGATTACCTGTACAGCACTAATCATTTTTTTCGCAAGCCAGGGGGAATTACTCCATACATGCTCAGAGGAGTTACATAATTACACACCTGGAGCCCTTGCAGTCCTATTCAGTTGGTGGGCCCTTGACTCATAGGATGCTGTGATTGCCAATTCTGCCTGTAGTGCAGGAGGAGATGAATCCTTCATAATGGAAGCAGAAGATCAAAGACTTTCATCACTTTCTTCTTTTGTCTCCCCTCCAATCACTGTCTCGGTACATTGTCCTCTCCTTTCTTTTTTTTAATAAGTTTTTATTATTTTTTTAATACAGTTCAACAGTGCTTATTCAACAAACAGGTTGTCTGAGTTCATCATTCACTAATACAAATTAAATTCTTAATGCCTAGTAGTTTGTTTCTCCAACCCTCGGTAAAATAAGTCCCAAGTTTGAAAATAATTTGTTTCTTCTTTTTCTTTTGATCTCAAAGTAAGTCTGTCCATTTTTGCACAGTCTGGTAATTTTTTTAAATTATTTCTTCCTCCGACGGTATTTCTTCATTTTTCCAATATTGTGCAAATATAAGCTTTGCTGCTGTTGTCACATTCAAAATCAAATCTTCTCCTTTCCTGAGGCCAACCATTAATTTCACTTTGCACCATAACATTTGAATGTGCAACACACCGTTACAGGATGTTGTAATGGCTTATTCAGGGATGTTCAATATACCAGTTGCTATTAGTCTTAAGTCCTGCACAAATGATGAGGACATCCAGCTCTGTTGCAGATTAACGCAACCTAACCTAATTCAGATAGTCCTCAAATTACATCCACAATTGGGACCTAGAATTTCCATTGCTAAGCAAGGCAGCAGCTTTGCTGGAAGCTGGTTGGGAACAGTCGCAGTGGTGGGATTCAGCTGGTTTGCACCAGTTCGGCAGAACTGATAGCTAAATTTTGCTGAGTTCAGAGAACCGGCAGAATGCACATTGCTTCTGGAAGTCTGTTCTAGGCTCGGAGGCCTGGAGGAAGCCTCCCAGGCCTAGAACGGCCTGCCAGAAGTGCATGGATGCCACTTCCGGAAGTCCGTTCTAAGCCTTGGAGACCTGAAGGAGGCCTCCCAGGCCTGGAACGACTGACCGGAAGTGCATGGATGCCACTTCCAGAAGTCCTTTCTATGCCTCGGAGGCCCAGGTCTGCATTCAATAAGAGAACTGGTTGTTCAGGTATTTTAATTCACTGAACGGTTGTAAATGGTGATCGTGTAACCTCAAGATGCTGCAGCTGTTGTAAATACACGTCAGTTGCCAAGTGCCTGAATTTGGATCACATGACTGTAGGGATGCTGCAATAGTCGTAAGTATGATGATCTGTCATAAGTCACCTTTTTTTCAGTATGGTTGTAAATTCGAATGGTCGCTAAACTAATGGTTGTAAGTCAAGGATTATCTGAAGACAATAGCAACTAGAGCACAATTTGCCTATTTTTTTGTGTGTATTCTTTTAGGTCAGGGGTCTCCAAAATTGTCACCTTTAAGACTTGTGGACTTCAAGTCTGGCTGAGGAATTCTGGGAGTTGAAGTCCACATGTCTCAAAGGTACCATCTTTGGAGAGTCCTATTCTAAACCATGTTGTCTTCCTCTGTCACCTCTTCGCTCTTTCAGGTCACGGGAAGTTCTCCATTGGTGAAAAGGGCTGTGGATTGGGCATGCCAGGAACCAATGACAAGGCGGTGGAGGTGCATGGCATCCTGGCCTTCTCTCAGCTGCACCAGTGCAACACAAGCCACTGCAACATTAAACTGGACATCAAAGCACTGCAGCTGCAACCCATGGGTAAACCCCAGCCCCATAAGAATGATGTCTCTCTTTAGAAGATTGTTAGCCTGATCCATCCACTGCTATGTCCCTGGAGAATATTGGAATATTTTCCCAAAACCTTAATAAACTGGGACTTTCCAAACATGATTGACTGAGTTTCACCATGGGTTCATTTCCGAGAAATCTCTAGCTTGTAAATTAAATAAATTTTAAACAAAATAAATTCTAGGTCTCTCTCTTAGGCAAGAAAGCTGGCTGGGTGACTTTGGGCCAGTCTATCTCGGCTTAACTCTGTGAACTCTTGTGGGGAAAATGGAAGACAGACGTATTAGGTATATTCACTGCCTCAAGTTATATATTAAAGAGTAGAATAAAAATATGATAATGATAATGATAACAAAACAACAATAACAGCAATAACAGGAAATACTGAAAGGAAAATACACAGGAAGAAAAAGAATAGCAAGATATAGATCAGTTTTTCTCAAACTTGGCAACTTTAAGATGTGTGGACTTCAACTCCCAGAATTCTCCAGCTGGAGAATTGAAGTTGAAGTCCACATATCTTAAAATGGCCAAGGTTGAGAAACGCCAGTCTAGACATCCACAGCAAATTACATCGATGTGTTCATAGAGAAATGAGCTCAACTTCAGAGAATTTTTGCCTTTTGTTGTCCTGAGCCCCACAAACAATGGTTGCAACTCTTTGTGTAAAACACACAGTAATCACAAAAGTCAGCTTACCTAGAACAAAAAGGCTATGATGTTTCTTCAGGCTGTGCCTTTATGTTCCAATGCGAAGAGCTTTTTTGCATAATTTGCAAATGCGCTTTTAATGGTTTTGTTTTCTTTATTATTCCCTTTTATATAAATCCCTGTAGCCCTCTTTCTGGGAAAGGAAAGGTGGAGTACAGTTGAATTAACAACTAACTGTTTAGATTTAGCACCGGTTTCAAGATGTCTTTCAACTAATCTTGGCGCTAGTCTGGTTTAAGGAAAATTATAAATATGCCTGGCCCAACCCAGTTCCAGGGCTTCTTCTAGAATTGAAGCAATTTAAAGTCCATCTCTTTTTTCATCCTCGATAATGCTATTTTTTCTTTTCTTTTTTTTTAATGGCTCTATCTCCAGATAATGTGAGTGCGCGGATTCCCAACGGAGTGGAATGCTACAGCTGTGTTGGAGAAAAGTGTCCATTGAACAATTCTGCCATTGTCAAGTGTTATGATAATTTCCGAGGTTGTTTCCATGGCAATGTCACTATGAAAGCGGGTGAGACTTCTGAAGGTCATCAAAAGCCATGGATAATTTGGCTGTCTTGGGGTTTTGAGCAACTACTACATGTCCATAAAAATGATGGATTTCTTCCTGTCCTAGGAAAGGGGGGGGAGAGATGGATTAATAGAGCTAAGGGATGAGTAAAGGATCAATGTCCTCTTGGTGAAGACCATCAATTCCCGGAATTCCTGAGCCAGCATGGGGGAACTATGGCCCCCTTCATGACTGGTAGACTTCAACTCCCAGAATTCCTGAGCCAGCCACGCTGAGGGGAAAGGGAGATGTTTCCAAGCTGAGCGATACTGGCTCAGGAATTCTGGGAGTTGAAGTCCACGAGTCATGAGGGGGCCATAGTTCCCTCACGCTGGCTCAGGAATTCCGGGAGTTGAAGTCCACCAGTCATGAGGGGGCCATAGTTCCTTATGCTGGCTCAGGAATTCTGGGAGTTGAACTCCACCAGTCATAAAAGAGCCAAGGTTGACTACCCCTGACCCAGCTGAAATAAAAAAATATTTTCTAATTGTGTAGAATTATATCTCCAATATATAGTAAAAAAAAGGATAGAAGCAGAGATTAAAAGGGCGCATTCAGTCATGTTTGGAGAATGGCAAACTTTTAAGAACTATAATTATGTGGCTTTTTTTTTTTAAAAAAAAAAACCTTTTATTTAATTGGTGTTTTTTTTTAAAAAAAGCAAAACAGCATTTATATTTTTCTGTCAGATAGTCAGCCTTCCCTTGAACTTTCTTGTTTTTTTTAAAACAAGTTCCAAAATTGCTGCAGAGCGGATGGGAAGCGTGTGCAGTATGTGATTTGACAACTATTCACATTCTTGGTTTGGTTTTGTTTTTAACAAAGATAAAGGCAAAGAATGGCTTTGTTGTCCTCGAATTAGAAAGCCCACATTTGATTTGATACGGGAGGGGGGAAACTTGGGAACCAAAACTTTCCCCCCCTTGATGCCCGCCTTGACGTTGCTTCTCCTCTTTCCCAGGCAATTTTTCACTGACCAGACCCATCAAAGGATGTGTCCAAGAAGACGATTGTACTAAAGTCAGGAAAGGAAGTCCTGCCATCACTCTCTCGGGCTCCTGTTGTTCGGGGAACCTCTGCAACACTGATCTCTCCAACAAGACACACTTCTCCACCTCCATTCCACGGCTGGCTTTCCTGCCTGCTCAAGAGACCAATAACACAACCGTCTCTACCCCTTCGACGTACATCCGGATCAACGCAGCCACAGCTGCAGCAGCAGCTTCCACTTCCAGCAAGCTCGCCCGTTCTCTTGCCGTGAGCCCATCCGTGGGCGGCCCTCAGAAGGACCACAGTCATGACCACAACCACGGCCATAATCACAGTCACGAAGATGATGAAAGGAGCACCGTGGTTCAAAATAGGAAGGTGGTCCCTTCTGTGAAGGTTGGAGAACGACTCGGCGGTCCAGCTGAGGGACCAAAGGGAGGTGTAGCCGGCTTGCAAGGCTCAGTCCTTGTGACTTTTCTGTTTCTTGGCTTGTGTCTGTGAAGGCTGATCAAGGAGACAAATGACATTCATCCTTCTTCCCTTTCTTCCTCGCTAGATCAAAGCCTATCACGTACAGCTTTGCCTCCATGTAGCTTGGCACGATCTCTCCCATTCTTGAGTAGGGGGCTGGGCTAGAAGACCTCCAAGATCCCTTCGAACTCTATTGTTCTGTTATTCTGATTTGTCTGCCAGTACTAGGCCTCTTCTTAAGAAACCAGCATTTTGGACCTAATGTCCTATTTGAATATCAGAAATTTCTGCAGTGCACTTCTGTCTACAGATAGTCCTTGGCTTACAACCATCAGTTTAGTGCCCATTCAAAGTTACAATGGCACTGAAACGAGTGACTTTCAACCTTTCCTTGCACCTATGGCTGTCACAGCATCCCCACAGTCATGGGGTCAAAGTACAGGTGCTTGGCAACAGGAATGTATATGGACGATGGTTGAGCATTCTAGGGTGATGTGATCACTCTTTGTGGCCTTCCCAGACGGTTGTCAAGCGAGTCAATGAGAGAAGTCACTTTTACTTAATGACTACTTAATAATGGTTCACTTAATAACTACAGCAAAAAAGGCCATAAAATAGGGCATGACTGACTTAACAACCACTTTACTTCGCAGTAGAAAATCTGGTCTCGGTTGTGACCTTAAGTCAAGAACTACCTATACCTTATTTTCATGGTAGTCACTAGAACTGCTCCGGTACATGATAAATCTCAGGTTTGCGCGCAGCAAAACCTGGTTTTGCTCTTCCAAAACAAAGTCAAATTCCTTTGCATGTGGCTCTTTTCCTGCCCTTCTCTTCTCATATAGTGCCAATCAGACTTCCAGAGTTTTGGCGGTTTGCATAAATTTTGACTTGACAGAGGTCAGAAGTAAGATCCATGCATTGTAAGTCAAGCTGTAACTTAATGAAGCGAAACCAACCAGCTCAAACAAATCAGCTTTTTGCGTGGGCCTTAATGACTTAACCCTATCAAAGTGTTCTAGAAACCATAAAGTCAAAATGTGTCTGAGATTCAGGAAATTGGGGGGTGGATTTCTGTGAGGAGCTTATACAAGGAAGAGTGTAGAGTTAGGTGGACTGTTCCCACTTTGAAATTTGGATTTTAATTCTGAAATGCTGGAGTGGAGCCACTCCACTCCAGCATTTCAGAATTAAAATCCAAATTTCAGCATATGTAGCTCTTTGCCAAATTTGTAGCTACAAATTTCAGCATATGTCACTCTTTGCCAAATTTCAGCATATGTAGCTCTTTGCCTTTTCAAGGAGATCTATCTTGACTTCGGTGAATGAATAAAGTTAATCAAATTGTAACCCTCACAAGGCAGATCATGTAAAATAGGACAACAAAACCTTCCAGGTGGCAGTTTTGTATTTTAAGTACTGTATTTGCCATAATTTGAACACATGAGAAATATTTGCTTTCAACATTTGCAAGGGTTTTCAGTTTTTGCCTTCTCACTGAATTGGACCAGGTGTCAACTAGCAAACATCTGCTCCAAAAACTGAGATCAAAGCAAGAGAACACCAAATCAAGGGATAAGACAAAGATTGAAGTTTGGGCTGAGTTCATACAACATTGTAGATTAAACTAAAATGAATGTTGTTTGTGAGTCAGCATATTGGGGTCTTTCCAACCATTGTCTCAGCATGTTTTAATGAACCAGGTCATTGTATTAAGCCGTAATACAATTTATTCATTTGGTTATAACATGTTATGTGAACATTGAAATTGTATTTAGTTCACTTGGGTGAAGAGGTACATTGTATGAACCCAGCTCCCGAGTCTCAGCAGAAGCCTCTTAGACCCTTGTCATTCTGAAGCAGGAACAAATCAAATCCCCAAAGTTTAAACACATCTGCTGCTGTTATTATTCATTCGGTTTATTTTGTTCCTGTTTGTAAATAGTTTTACGTGTGACTCTTGCCAAAGTAATAACATTCAAGGAAAAGTGGACTCGGAAAGATGCTAACAAATAAAGGGATTGCAACTTGGCTGAACAAAATGCCTGCGTAGGAGATTTGCAAGGATATGTGTGTGTATACGTGTTTGTGTGTTGCTTCTTATTGCTCATCGTTATTGTTATTTGTCATTTTTATGCTGTGAGACTAAATAAGGAGACATGTTATTATGTGTTTTGCAGAACAAGAAAACAAGCAAGGAAGAAAACCTGAGATTGAAATATATGAGGTTTGAAGGAAGAGATCGGGGGTCCTGTCCATGGGTATTCTAGAAGATACTCTAGTGCAGTGATTCTCAACCTGTGGGTCGGGACCCCATTTGGGGTCAAACGACCATTTCACGGGGGTCGCCAAACAACGCAGCCCGCCATTTTTTCCCCCTTTTCCTTAGCTGTGCTATTCCCTTTTATTCTATTGGCTTTTGAAAGCCAATAGAACAGACTCTCTTGAATAGAGTCTAATTCTATTGCCTTTCAAAAGCCAATAGGAATTGTCCAGGCTGTCTCTGCCCTGCTGAGCCCGCCAAAAGTCCCATTCTGCAAACGGTGCTGCACCAGTTGAGTAGTCCTCGACTTACGACCGGTTGAGTAGTCCTCGACTTACGACCGGTTGGGGGGGGGTCGCGGCATTAAAAAGGTTGAGAACCACTGCTCTAGTGGAAATCAAGGGGAATGGGGCCCTACCTTCCAAAACCATCAATCTCTGATGAGCTGGGACAGTGATTCTCAACCTTGGCTATTTGAAGAGTTGTGGACTTCAATTCTCAGACTTTCCCACCTAGCATGGCTACAAGTCCACAAGTCACCAAGTAACCAAGGTTGAGAAACACTGAGCTAGAAGACAAAGTCTTGATAGCCTAATGAAGAAATTTCTGGCTTTGCTAATTGCAGCATCACCAACTCTTGGACTGACCTACAAGTTTCTTTCAGGTGTAAATTCATCTTGTTCCTCCACAGTTTGATGGTGGGAGGTCCTTCTGAAATATTGCTCAGAGAGGGAGAATACTCCATAATTCTTCAAGGGATTTCTGGATTCATCAGATTTAACCATATACAGCGTTGTTACTAGGTGGCGAAAACAGCTTTCTTAAAGCTTTCTTTGGCTTAGCAGGCCAAGATTAGCAAATATAAATAAAAAATCTGGTTCCAAATTTTGGAGTGTTCTTAATGGCCACCTCAACTATCAATTACTTTTGAAAGCCTGGCCTTGCTCCTGCTTGGAGCCCAACTCAATAAAATGATGAAACAGGGGGGGGGGGAAAACAACTAGAGTTCTTTGAATAACTAAAGATTTTCTTACATAAGGCCATGTTTTGTCTGAGGTTGACTAGGGCCTGCAGCGGAGAAAAGGGAATTGGAGAAGAGGAAGGAAAGAAGAACGGAGGCAAGGGAAAGAGCATACACTATGCAACCTTGTTAAGCCAGCTGTTTGTCTATATATAGGGCTGTGTGTGGGAGATTACTGTTAGTCATTCTCTGTGTATGACCCTCACATGCAGTTCTTCAGTTGTGTGTCTTTTTTCTCTCTTCCTTGCTTAGTTAAAGAAGTATCATAGTTGACCTGCACCCAACAAACAGAGCTGGGTTGAATGCCCTATTATAAAAAAAATTAGTAAGATATATTGGTCATAAATTAGATCCAGTTAACGATGTGGGTGGTTTGGTTCTCAGTGTCAAGGGAAGGAAGTTAAACTTTAAATGTTATTTGTCTCCTGATGAGTAGATAAGAAATTATCTGTTAATTTATCAGTAGAAATTTCCTTACAGGAAAACTCTTGACCACTATTTAAGAACAAACTTTCTTAACTGATATTGTCCAACACATAGACAAGCTCCTACTTTCATTAACACAAAAATCCCAAACAACATAGGGAACAGCTCTTTCTGAGATTTGTCTAGATTAGTATTTCTTCACCCTGGCAGCTTGAAGATGTATGGACTTCAACTCCCAGAATTCCCCAGCCAGCAAGGGTGATAGAAGAATTCTGGGAGTTGAAGTCCACAGTTCTTCAAGTAGCCAAGGTTGATTTAGACTAGTGTTCTTCAACCTGGGCAACTTCAAGATGTGTGGGTTTCAACTCCCAGAATTCCTCAGGCAGCTATGACAGTTCAAAGTTATGAGAGCCTTGGAAAAAGTTACTTACAAGTCACCCTTGAAGTTACGACTATCACACCCTCCCTTGGTCATATGATCACAATTCAGACATTTGGCAATCAAGTCACATGTACAACAGTTGCAGCCTCCTGCAATCACGTGACCATGATCTGTAACTTTCCCAGCTGGCTTCCTACCAGCAAAGTCAATTGGGGAAGCCATATTCACTTAATGACTGTATAATTTACTTAATGACCATTTAATCTGCTTAATGATGACAGTGGTTCACTTAAACAACTGCAGTTAAAAGGTCATAAAATTGGGTCAGGTCACATGAGGACTAACTTAACAACCTCATTGTTTAATGATCAAACCTCCAGTCCTAATTGTGATCACAATTTAAAGACTATCTATAATGCACCAGAAGGAGAGGTTCCCTATGGCTGCCATTGCTCTTGAATAAAGAATGTAACTTCATGCAAGTGCCTGATCCTGGCTCAAAAGCAGACCTGGTAAGGAATGTGTCAACCTCCAGCTCAAGAATCCAATGAAAAGTCCAGGTTCATTCCATCTCTGAATTTTTACTGTTTATTGAATACATTGCATGGTAATGTCAAAGGAAAACTAACTCTGAGGTTCCGACACCAATTCATAGACTTAAACAATAATTTTCCCAGCCCAACCCCCAAACGTCTTACATAGTCCATATAAACAAGTTCACTTTGTTATGGGAACTGTCTGGTTTAATCCACACCTGTTATGGTGTCCTTGAAAAGGCGTCAGGCTCTCTCAGTGGAATCTTAGAAGTTTCATTTCTCCATCTAATCCACTCGAAAGTAACACCTGCCCCCCTTTACTCTAAAGGCAAGTTGAAATACAGATCAAACTGCCAAAGTTTCACCCTTGACAAAATGTCATTCCAACTGTAAAGCAGCACATGAGAAATCCACAAGCGGGCACTGAGATCAATTTTCTCATTAGCTATCTCCTTCATTCTTTTTTTTTTTTTTTTTTTTGCACCAGTTAAAATGAGAAACATCTGGGATCATTTCAGAAACAACTGGAGCAATGCCTAAACGGCCTTCTCAAAATTCTCCACCTCCGCTACGCTACACATCACAACTAAGCAGCTTAAGATACTTTGCAAATACAGCTTCTGAACTGGTAATTGAGCATAAAGAACTTAATTGAATTTTAGGTTCAATCGTTCATGTCTGAGTCCAACTTCACCTCCACCTTGCAAACAATGTTTGCCAATTCCAAATGCCACTGGAAAATTGGCATCGTTTCCCTAATTATTCAAAAAATAATGTAAATTTGCACAAATGATGAAACTTTCGATTTCAAAGGTACATCTTTGTATCTAATGGGATAGAAATCTATTTTCCTCAGGGTGTCAAGGCAGGCACAATTTGTTCCTTCTGTCTTCCCCAAAGGTAACAATCCCACTAGGAAGATGGAGCCGAGATGCAGAGAGACTGGTCTAAATCCAATTTTGTGGCTGAGGGTGAGCTAGGAGCAGGAACATCTGGACCTAAAGCACATCCCTCCAACCCAAACGGTTGGAATCAAGATCATGTGAAGTCTTAATACCACTCCACAATGCCTTGGTAAGGCCACACTTGGAATACTGCATCCAGTTTTGGTCACCACGATGTAAAAAAGATGTTGAGACTCTAGAACAGTGTTTCTCAACCTTGACAATTTTAAGGCATGTGGACTTCAATTCCCAGAATTCCACAGCCAGCTTTGCTGGCTGTGGAATTCTGGGAGTTGAAGTCCACATACCTTAAAATTGTCAAGGTTGAGAAACACTGCTCTAGAAAGAGTACAGAGAAGAGCAACAAAGATGATTAGGGGATTGGAGGCTAAAGCATATAAGGAACGGTTGCTGGAATTGGGTATATCTAGTTTAACAAAGAGAAGGACAAGGGGGGACATGATAGCAGTATTCCAATATCTCAGGGGCTGCCATAAAGAAGAGGGAATTAAGCTATTTTCCAAAGCACCTGAAGGCAGGACAAGAAGCAACGGGTGGAAACTAATCAAGGAGAGAAGCAACCTAGAACTAAGGAGAAACTTCCTGACAGTGAGAACAATTAATCAGTGGAACAGCCTGCCTCCAGAAGCAGTAAATGCTCCAACACTGGAAGTTTTTAAGAAGAGACTGGACAGCCATTTGTCCGAAATGGTGTAGGGTTTCCTGCCTGAGCAGGGGGTTGGACTAGATGACCTCCAAGGTCCCTTCCAACTTTACTACTATTACTATTACTAAATAAATTGAGGCACTACTGTATGTGCGAACCCTACCAATAAGTTGCCACAGTAGAGATCAGGAGAACTTGGTCACCCAACCCATGTTCTCATGTTGAATCTCCAGCAACAAGACGCAACAAGTTTAGATGGCTGAAGAGCAGCCTGAGGCACATCAGTCATTCCCAATTCCAAGCCACATCAGCAGATTGCAAGGACTTCCCGGGTGGTTCTTTTTTTCATAGGAGGTGACAGAGTCTGAAGACTCAGCAAGTCCTGAAATGTTTGGCCAGGTGAGAACCACCTCCAACCTTTCCTGAAGCTTCCAAGATAGGACAACGGGTATGCACTGTGATGCTTGCCAGAGGTTGTGACACACTTGTTATGGAAAGTGTAGCATGGAATTTGTTAAAGGGCTCTGTTGAATCATTGAAGTTTGGTAAATCACGTTGTTCCTCAGAAATAAACCAGCAGGAACCCGACAAAGATACTTGAGCAGAGGCTTCACGGTTTTTTTGGCTGCTGCAAAGTGAATTTTCACACCCTAACCACCCTGCTTGATCCGCACACATGACGTATGTTGTGGGAATGCAATTTAAGCCACCACAGGAGCAGCCCTCTTATTCAAAGACACTCCTCTTGAAGACTTCCATCTGACAACATTTCTCAACTCTTAATCCCCTGGTGCTCGGGAATTATTTTTAGGAGTGTTCTTGGTCCCGTGGAATTTGCCGTTTCAATGAAGCCCATCCTTTTTCACGGCTTCGCATAGCTGTAATCACTCTGGTCGACAGTGAAGGGATTCTGCATGATCGCCTCTAGCAGGAAGAGGCTTTCCTCAAGTTCCCCTTTTCGGCAGGAGTTAATCTTGACTTTGGATGAGCTCCAAAAACACAACCGGGCGGAGAAAGTAAGCCGCAGCCAAGAAATCTGCATTTTCTTGTCAAGGGAGCCCAGAGAAATACAGAAGACGTGATTCCTGCACCCTAAAACAGGTAATGTCAGGGTCTAAAACCAGGGCACCACACCTTCTGGGGGATTGTGCTAATTCCAGAACAACAATAGTCTTGTCCCTATCTATATTGTTTCTGGATGTGTTAAGACTGTCAAAACCAGACGGATGGTTTGCTCTTGAGAGATGGGCTCTGTTCAGTCACCTCGTCATGTTTTACTAACCTTAGAGTCTTACAGCCACTCAAGAATGCAGGTGTGTAGTCCTGTGGTCTTGCGTTACAATGTACATGATTATGATAATCAGGCAAGTTGTATTCTGGTGCGATTTGGTTGCCTGATTTTAGCAGCTGGCCTGGATTGGAAAACTGCTTGTCTAGAGCTAAGTGTACGCTTTCTAATATTGATGCACTTGTCGGACAGCTACAGCGTGGTGGCACCAACCCATTGTGCAATGTTCACAAAAATATGGGGGATTTATCTTCACGAGGACTTCAAGTTGCTTAACTGGAAGTGACTTGGTCAAAGAGCTCGGAATTCCGAAGTCAATTCAAGTATTGCTTACCTTTCCCTACCTGAGTTCAGCTCCCCTGTTTTTTTTTGTTCTGAAAAAAGGATGGAAGATCTAGAATAAAACTACCCAAGTATAAGAGCACAGCCTGAAACTATGGAGACATTTGTCTAACCTTATGTCAAACATCTGACATTGGCCTAAGATCTCATCAGATCTGAGATGCAGGTCCTGTTCGTTAGGGGGGACATTTGGGGTCCCAGGGTTGGGTCTTTTCAACTGTGGTGCCCACCTTGTGGAACATTCTCCTCCCTAAAGTGAGGTGAGCTCCATCCCTGTTAATATTCTAGAAGACTCTCAAGACCTCACTAAGTCTGAGAGAGAACCAGTAAGATCTTGAGATGGCTTCAGTAGTGAAGTTCACGTTCTTTTCTCTTGGGCTTTGTAATTTTTATATGGTTTTTTTAAAATAATGACTGTTTATATATTGTATTAATTTATTGTTATATGGAGCCCAGAAATGCTTTTTGTGAAATGGGTAGCCATATAAATGTGACAGATAAATATGTGATAGCTAGATAGATAAAAATGTGATAGATAAATATCATAGAAATGTTTAGAAGCATTGGATGCTCCAGCTGGACATTCAACCTACAATGTAAGTTCACCTGCTGCTCAAGAATTCCTGATGACCACCCAATCTTTGGCTTGAGATTTCTGACTTTGGAGAAGCTGCCATTTTCCAAAACCATCTGCTCGCACCGTCAGCAGTTTCTTTCTTGGACCACCTGGGAAATGCAGAAGTACTCTATATTTCTGTAGGGTAGATATAGAAGAGGATGACATACCTTCCTTCCTTCCTCCTTTTGACCATATCTTGTGGTTTCCCTGATCTTGCGAAAAGTTTCTTTGTCACTAATTCATAGAGTTGTTGGATTAGAGATGCTGAAATTCTACCATCTAGTGATGAATTTGGGGAGCAACACAATAAGAAAGAACATGCATGGTCTGAGTGATTTTTTTTTTCTTGGCTTGATGTTGTAGAGTGAGTCAAATAACATTGATTCTCCTTTTCCAGGTTTTTTCGACCATCTTATTTCTTAGTCCTCCGACTCTGTAAGCTCCCGTTACATCATGAATGTTAATCTCACTGCTCCGGACATCTCCAATGCATCCTTGACATCCTCCACGGATACCAGCTTGGATGTGAGCAAGCTCATGGACATGCTTCAGATCTTCTTCTACACAGTTCTGTTTCTACTTGGTTCCCTGGGCAATGGAGCGGTGATCTGGATCACAGCCCGCCAGACTTCACGGACCATCAGCTGTGTCTGGTTCTTCAATCTAGCTCTGGCTGACTTTCTCTTCTCCGTCACCCGGATTGTGCCCCTCTTGAAGAACGCTTTTAATAGCGGGTGGCCCTTCGGATGCTTCCTATGCAAAGCCAACAGCTTCATCAAGTATCTCAACATGTTTGGCAGCGTCTTCCTCTTAGCTGCCATCAGCATAGACAGAGCAGCATGTGTAGCCTATCCAATATGGACCAAAAGGCACCGGGGCAGTCGCTTGGCATGGGTCGCTGCCATCGGAGCTTGGTTAATGGCCATTGCCACAAGTGTTCCTTTCTACCTCTACCGCGGCATAAAAATTGACAAGTCCAACAAGGCCAAGTGCTCCTTTGCCCTGGAGGGAAACGAAACTGCCAAACTGGCCATCTACATGTTGAGACTGATTTGTGGGTTCTTGGCCCCTTTCACCATCATTGCGATCTGCTACGGCATCATCGTTGTGGTGCTGAGGAGACGACGGGCTTCCATCCGTTCCAAGAAACCCTTCAGGGTCATCCTGGTTCTTGTGGTCACGTTCTTCCTCTGCTGGGCGCCATATCACATCTTCCAACTCCTCAAATTGGCAAAGGTGGAAAGCCTAGGAATTTCTATTGGCCTCCCGCTCTCCTCCTTCCTGGCCTACCTCAACAGTTGTGCCAACCCTATCCTTTATTTTTTCATGGGCGTGGACTTCCACCGAAAGCTGACTCTTTACAACATAAGGGCTGCATTCAGGAGAACCTTGTTCGAAGACAGTGGCACCTCATTTAGGAGCAAATACAGGAAGGAGATGGCTTCTTCCACTGAAGAGATACCTCAGTCTTCCGTGGTCTCTCAGACGCATCGCAAAACCTCAACCCTTCCAAGTTCAGTTTAGGAAACTCGTGTGGATTAGGAACTCATGGGTGACAGGTGAAGAACATAGAACATAGAATCATAGAGCTGGAAGGGACCTTGGAAGTCATCTAGTCCAGCCTCCTGCTCAAGGCAGGAGACCTTCTACTATCCCAGTCAAATGACTGTCCAGTCTATTTTTGAAAACCTCCAGTGATGGAGCACCCACAACTTCTAGAGCAGTGTTTCTCAACTTGACAATTTTAAGGCATGTGGACTTCAACTCCCAGAATTCCACAGCCAGCAATGCTGGCTGTGGAATTCTGGGAGTTGAAGTCCACATGCCTTAAAATTGTCAAGGTTGAGAAACACTGCTCTAGAGCAAGTCGTTCCACTGATTAATTGTTCTCGCTGACAGAAAAATTCTCCCTAATTCTAGGCTGGACCTTTCTTTAATAAGCTGGCACCTGTTGCTTCTTATCCTGCCCTCTGGTGCTTTAGAGAATAAGAGGCTTTGTAGTCCAACACATGAGGAAGACAGCAGTCTGATGGAGGCTGGATCCATCACACCCATTACCTGAGAAATACAAGATTTCTTTTTTTTTTTCTGCTTTCATTCCATCCACCCATCTTCCCTATTGATGTTTCTTGGACATTGTGAAGCTACAAATGCTCATCTGTTAAAAGGAAGCTTTTTCTTCCATCCCGAACTGCAAGCGATGGGTGGTTTTGCTTTATATTCATCCTGTCTGTTACTTTTCTTTGACTCTGATGTACATACAGTGTGTATAAACTTTCAGCTATATTTGTACATTTATGTCTTTGGAAAGCTTATTCAACCAACTCTGATATTAGCAGCCCTGCCTGAGGTGCTTCTAATTTTAACCAAAACCTAAGCCATCGTGTAGCATTCTAAAACCAATATTAAGGAAGCATAAACATTAGCTGCTGTTTTTTAAAACATAAATAAATAAATAAAGGGAATGTGTCCTTACAGCCTGCCTGCTGTGACTGACGTGACAGGCTGGGGAATTCTGGGAACTGATCCAGACTTTCAGCTTTGATTAAAGTGCTTGGAAATGTTGAATACTGCAGTCAAAAACATCTGGAAGAAGCTGCCAGATGTTCAGAAAAACCTACAAAATGGTTCAAGTCTTATTATGTTGCAATTATTGCTTTCTCTGTGTGTTTTCTTTTCATTAAAGTGGATATTCTTGTCACATCATGATGTCATTTTGTTTATTGATTCGTGCTCTGGGCTCCAGCAGTTGGATAGCCTTTAAATAAACATATTTCCATTATTTATAGTAAGTAAACAAAAAATAAATGGAATCACATGGCTAAAAGGAGGGTCCTCCCCCTCTGTCTCTCTAGTTTAGCCAGGCGGTGGAGTTTTATATCAGTCAGGCTGTCTTTCCTTCCATGATCACAAAATGATGAATTGGTAACCAATGTTGTCTTTGGAGCAACCTTGCAAAGGAGATGAAGAGAGAAAGGTTATAATAATAATAGTAATAATAGCAATAATAGTAATAATAGTGATGATGATGATGATGTTGGAAGGGACCTTGGAGGTCATCTAGTCCAACCCCCTGCTCAGGCAGGAAACCTTACACCATTTCAGACAAATGGCTGTCCAGTCTCTTCTTAAAAACTTCCAGTGTTGGAGCATTCACCACTTTTGGAGGCAGGTTGTTCCACTGGTTAATTGTTCTAACTGTCAGGAAGTTTCTCCTTAGTTCTAGGTTGCTTCTCTCCTTGATTAGTTTCCATCTGTTGGTTCTTGTCCTGCCTTTAGGCACTTTGGAGAATAGCTTCCCTCTTCTTTGGGGCAGCCCCTGAGATATTGGAAGACTGCTATCATGTCCCCCCCTCATCCTTCTCTTCATTAAACTAGACTTACCCAATTCCAGCAGCTGTTTTACTTCATGGCTAGGTCATTCCTTTCCAGAGGTCTGTTCAGACAGTCACCAATGATCAGACATTTGCTGTTCCCATTTTTCCTTGGTGTGTTGGAGGATCACCAAGCAGTCAAAGAGCAAAGAGTGGTCAACAGCAACATGGAGGGGAAAGAACCGCACAGCCTGCAGCATAGAAATTGGTGGCTTTGGGTAAAAACCAGCAGCTAGTCACAGACCTTGGGCTGTAACAAGATCAGGATAGCTGTGATTTAATCAAGGTTTCCCAACGCAGTGGAAAAGGGCACAGGCGGGGTTACATAACTTTTTTAAAAAAATTAATTTAAATTTTTAAAAAGAGATTGGACCACCATTTGTCTGAAATGGTAGAGGGTTTCCTGCTTGAACGGCGGAGGGGTGGACTTGAAGACCTCCTAAGGCCCCTTCCAACTCCATTACTCTGTTATTTTCAGCCTTTCTTACATGTACTCAATTGGCTCTTTTTTCTCCTAATCTCACTCCCACCCTTTGTGTAAAACAAACAAACCAAACCAAGCAAAACATCTACACAGGACATCATCTCCATGGAAGGAAAAGTTAAGAATTCTCCTCCTGTTGACTTTTATCCATCCTGCGGAGCTTGGAGGGCTGCCTTAAGTGTAAAAGAAGTCAGTAAAAATCCTCCAGCATGATATATCTATGGAATTCACATCCTGGGTGGCTGGACTCACAGCTGTCTGGGGAAATAGCTGTATTTTCAAAATATTTTGCCAGAGGAGTATGTTGGAAATAATTCATAGGAAGACTCTCTGGTGTCCATTGCAGCTACTGCATAAACTTTCTTATCTGATTTTGTGCAGACACATAGAAATTGCTGGCATCTCTCTCTCTTCATTAGTGGGAAGAGCTTAAACAACTTCGCTATTTTCAGATCTGGCATCTGACCAAGATTTTGTGCACAGTCTTTTCAGACACTTGACTAAAGGGAGATTATTCCTAGGTACTGCAAAGAGGAAGTAGTTACTTTCTGCATTGCCCCACATGAGGAAATGCAGGTTGAGATGGGGCAACCAAGAACCTTTTTTATTTTTTATTTTTACAGAACAGGCAGAAAACCTCAGTTGTCTGAAATGGTACTATAGGGTTTCCTGGTTAGACTAGAACAGCGGTTCTCAACCTATGGGTCGCGACCCCTTTCCGTCGCAACATATTTCCAATGGTCTTAGGAACTTGTCTTGCTTTCAACTCCCCCTAAAATTCTTCATTCAGGCAGGCTTCCAGAGTTCAGCTGGCAGGATGAAAATAACCCCTCCCCCCTGTCCTGCTGCCTCCCACGGCACCGCGCCGCTCCGCGTCCCACGCCTCAAGCCTCCGTGGCACAGAACCGCTGGCGTGGTCCCCAATGGCCGCTGTCATACTCCCCACCACCGGTGACCATGCAAGCCTTGGCAATTGCTCCAGCTGAAGAAGTGGGTGGCTGGGAATCTTCTGCACCCGTCAGCTGGCGACCCCCTGAATGTGCACTTGTCAGCTGGAAGGTCTGGCGATGGAGTTGGCTTGCATGGAGGGCAATGGGGAGATCCCTTCCAACTCTGTTATTCTGTTACTCTATTAATTGCATAGGGGAGGCAGAAGCAATGCCTGATGGGTCAACATGAAATTAAGGTAATTCTCCCTCCCATTCATCTCCTCAATCATTCTTACGGGCACTAGTTAAAATGAGATGCATCTGTGGAAGTGTCTGAATTATAGAAGTATAGAAAATTAAACGCATACATAAAATTGAAGGCAGACAAACAAGATGGGCAACAGACTCATACTTATGACCGCTGCAGTGTCCTGTGTTCACGTGATCACTTTTGCCACTTTCTGACCAGCAACGTCAATGGGGGAAAGCCAGATTCACTTAATAACTATGTTACTAACTTAACAGCTTCAGTGATTCGCTTAACAACGGTGGCAAGAAAGGTCGTAACATGGGGCAAAAGTGTCTCACTTAGCACCAGAGATTTTGGGCTCAATTTTGGTTGTAAGTTGAGAGTCACCTGTATCAGGTTTTATTGTATTAGGGGAAGCCAGTTGCTTCATGTTACTTGAGAAAATAACACAATGTCACTTAGGCAATCTCCTACAATAAGATGCTGCTGGTTTAGACAGCTGGCCAGGTGGCTATGACACACTTACCATGGACAGTGTGCTGTGGTGTTTGCTAAATCAAGTTGCTTTTTGGAAATATATCACAAGAAGTCGAGCAAAGATACTTGAGGCGAGGCTTCAAATTTCTGTGGGTTTTGCGGAATGTCAGCGACTTCTCAGGAAAAAGAAAACAACCCACGTGGACTGTCTTTTATTTTTGTTCCTTATAAACCAACTTTGTTGGTTCAAGAGAGAATAACACAACTGTTTGCAGAGAAGACAAGCTGCAGCCAAATAATCCTGTAAAAGAAGCTCAGCAAAAGAGGGGCAACGTGATTCTTGCAATTTCAGACAGGTAATTTTGGAGTCCTGAGCCAGAATATCACATCTTCTTCCAGTGTTTGTTTACTATAACATCAAAATAGTCCTGTCTGTGTCATGTCTGGATATTCATTTCTGGATATTTTAGACTGTCGAACAGTCTTTAAGAGATGGATTCTCTCTAGCAACCTTTTTCCAGTTTTATCTCTGGTGGTTCCTAGGATTTTTGCATCCAGCTTAAGCAAATTTCATCCTGATTTGAATATAGTTTGATCGTTCCTAGATTGTTGCATTTGTGGAAAGGAGCTTGATGGTACCACATAAGTACTGTTAGCAAAATTTCCCGGATTTCTTGTGGGCCATTTCCATTCAAGAAGGACAAAGTAGTAGAACTGGAGAAGCTGCAGAAGTTTGAAGAACTTGATCAATCAAAATGTCTTCCATCACTCCAAATCTTGGGCCAGATTATTTTTGAAAATAAGATTTTGATGGGTCAAAGCATCAGAGCAAAGGCTGAATTGCCAATGGCGAACAAATGTCTAAAATCATATAAACCATTGGATGCTTCAGTTGGGCTCAGCCATCATTTAATTCAATCCCTATGAAGCAGTGTAAGAAATTTGCTATTCCAGAATTCCTGATGACCTTCCAATCTCTGATGTGAAAGCTTTGATTTAGGAGAGCTGGTGGTTTTCCAAGCAGCCAGTTCCAACATCAGCAAAAATATTGCTCTCTCTCTCTCTCTCTCTCTCTCTCTCTCTCTCTCTCTCTCTCTCTCTCTCTCTCTCTCTCTCTCTCTCTCTCTCTCCTCCTCTGTAAAATGCAGAAGTATTTTGGCTGATTTCAGGTGGAGTGACACCACATTCTTCATTTCTTCTTTTAGCAAGATTTGGTTATTTGCCCCCCAGTTCCTATGGGGAGAGGAGGGATGGTTTGGGGTAGAGAATAAGAAGAAGACAACTTGGGCACTTCTAAGACTGGAGGCTAAAACATATAAGGAACGATTGCTGGAATTGGGTATATCTAGTTTAATGAAGAGAAGGACGAGGGGGGACATGATAGCAGTCTTCCAGTATCTCAGGGGCTGCCACAAAGAAGAGGGAGTCAAGCGATTCTCCAAAGGCAGGACAAGAAGCAACGGATGGAAACTAACCAAGGAGAGAAGCAACCTAGAACTAAGGAGAAATTTCCTGACAGTTAGAAAAATTAATTAGTGGAACAACCTGCCTCCAGAAGTGGTGAATGCTCCAACACTGGAAGTTTTTAAGAAGAGACTGGACAGCCATTTGTCTGAAATGGTATAGGGTTTCCTTCCTGAGCAGGGGGTTGAACTAGATGACCTCCAAGGTCCCTTCCAACATTATTATTATTATTATTATTATTATTATTATTATTATTATTATTATTATTATTATTATTATTATGTATGAGAAATGATCTCCCATTTAAATCTGGTTCAGTTCGGAAAGAAATTGAGATATTTCTAAATGTATTAAAGGAAGCAAATTGGTTTGTTTCCAAATAAATATAATACGAGTTGCTTAAAGTTCACACATCATGGAAGCTGAAATGAATCCTGGGCGCTGAAACCCAGACAGTTTGGGAACTTCACATCAGGAAGACTTGGAGAAAAGAACGTGTACTTTCTTTATATTACAGATAGTCCTCGATTTACGATCACAATTGAGCCCAACATTTCTGTGGCTAAGTGAAACATTTGTTCAGTGAATTTTTACCCCCTATCTTGCCCCAGTTGTTAAGTCAATCACTGCACTTCTTAAGTTAGTATCATGGCTGCTAAGTGAATCTGATTTTTCCATTGACTTTGCTTGTCAGAAGGTCGCAAAAGGGGATCACGTGACCCCGGGAGGCTGCAGCCGTCATAAATATGAGTCAGTTGCCAAGTGTCCGAATTTTAATTATGTGACCCTGAGGACACTGCAACAGTCGTAAGCGTGAAAAATGGTCATAAGCAAGTCACTTTTTTCAGCGCCTTTGTAACTCTGAACGGTTGCTAAACAAACTGTTGTAAGTGGAGGACTGCCTGTATTAGAGGCTTTTTAGGGTTTGTCCAAGTTGGTGGCAGGAAAGCAGATAATTCTAGTCTAGTACATCAGAGGGCAGATAAAAAGAGGATAAAAAAGGATCTCCATCTAGAGAACTTAAGAGAATTTAGGAAAAAAACCAGGGCTATAAAGATAAACATCTCCAATTGCCCAGGCTAAGGTCAAACTTTTAGCAATCAATATAAATATACTAAATAAATATAAATATACAAAATACAAATAGTTTAGCACTTTTAAAACGTTGCTTTTCCAAGTTCTGGAATTCTCCAGAGCAGGGGGATCAAATAACATGAATTCTTTGGTTCTCTCTTTTCCAGATTTTTTTCATCTAATTTTTTTAGGTCGCCTTCTCTGCAACGTCCCGTTTGCATCATGAATGCTAGTTCCACGGCTCTGTGGCTTCCCAATGCATCCTTACCATCATCCTTGGAAACAAGCTCCGACATAAACAGGTTCAGAAACACTCTTAAGATCGTCTTCTACACGGTTGTTTTCCTACTGGGTTCCTTTGGCAATGGAGTTGTGATCTGGATCACTGCCCGCCAGGTCTCACGGACCGTCAGCTGCGTCTGGTTCTTCAATCTAGCTCTGGCTGACTTTCTCTTCTCCGTGAGTCGTATCGCACCTCTTCTTGCGATGAAGGAAGGTTGGATCTTTGGAAGCTTTGCGTGCAAAGTCAACGGCTTCATCAAGTACCTCAACATGTTCTGCAGTGAGTTTCTCTTGGCTGCAATCAGCATGGACCGGGCGGCTTGCATCGCCTACCCGTTATGGGCCAGGAAACACCGCAACATCCGCTTGGCATGGCTCGCAGCCATTGGAGCTTGGCTCACGGCCATTGTCACCAGCATCCCTTTCTACCTTTACCGTAAGGTGGACACAAAGAACAACCAAACCAAATGCTTGGTGATGCTCAAGGGAGAAAAGCCAGGAGTGCAAGTGACCATCTCCATGTTGAGACTGATATGTGGGTTCTTGGCACCCTTCACCATCATCGTGATCTGCTACGGCATCATCCTCGTGGTGCTCAGGAGACGCCAGACCTCCCTCCACTCAAAGTCCTTCAAGGTCATATTTGTCCTGGTGGTCACCTTCTTCCTCTGTTGGTTGCCCTATCACATCACCCAGCTCCTTAAATTGGCAGGAGTGGAAAGCACGGCCTTCTCGTTTACTGCTCTTTTTGCCGCGTTCCTGGCTTACCTTAACAGTTGTGTAAATCCGTTCCTTTACTTCTTCATGGGCATGGATTTCCACACAAGGTTGACCCTCTATAATATCATCAGGGCCCTCAGGAGAATTTTGTTGGAAGAGAACAGCTCCATAAATCAAAAATCCAGCAGCAGCAATAAAGGATCCTTTTCGACAAATGAGCAGGCAAAATCCTCAGAAATCTCTCGGGTGAACTGTGGAAATTCAACCCCACAAACATGAAGTATCACACAACTGGTGAAATTTGAATGTGTGCGCCTCAGTTGTCATCTGTGTCCCAGCCCCAAACCATAATTTTGGACGTGTTGAAGTTTTAAATATCTGTAGTTGGAAAAGGCTGGCAAAAAAAAGCCTTTTCCCTCATAATGAGCTATGAAATTGCTTTAATTGTTTTGCATTAGTTACACAGAGTGTAGGAAATTTGTGCATCCATCTTAACTGCTGGTCCTATCTCAATGTTGATTTCTTTCGGACTCTTATTCATCGGGAACCTTATCCTGGTCTGTCTCCAATTTTAGCCAAATCGCAAGCCATCATGGAACCTTCTTAAAACAATAGCTAAGAGAGCATCTGTTATCTCTTTCTCTTGCTTTGAATAGAGCAGGGGTGTCCAACCTTATCAACTTGAAGACCTGCGGACTTCAATCTCCCAGAATTCCTTAGGTGGGGAATTCTGGGAGTTGAAGTCCACAAGTCCTCAAGTCGACAAGGTTGGACACCCCTGGAAGAGAGAGTATTTAGCCTGTATTTTTGTATGTGAGATTATACTCAACTGTGCTATTTATTGTCAATAATTTGTTAGAAAATAGGAAATTGCTCCTGCAAGAACCTGGTCAGGAAGCTTGGGCATGCGGAAGCTGTTTCTGATTTAATGTGTGCTGAAATTGTTGGGATGGGTGGCAGCCTCCGCGTTGTGCAGTAAATTTGTCCTTTTCCCCCTCTGATGACTCTGAAGTGCATGTTGCAAAAGACCAACGGTTGTAAAATTCGTAGGTTAGATGACTCAATTTCTGTCTGGGATCACTGTTGCAGTTCCACTGAAGCTCCCTTAGGGCAGGAGTAGGCAACCTTGGCTCTTTTATGACTCGTGGACTTCAACTCCCAGAATTCCTGAGCCAGCCATGCTGAGGGGAAAGGGAGAGGTTTCCATGCTGAGCTATGCTGGCTCAGGAATTCTGGGAATTGAAGTCCACCCATCTCCAAGTGGCCAAGGTTGAGAAATACAGGCCTAGGCCGGGGTGGGCAACCCTGGCTCTTTTATGACTCGTGGATTTCAACTCCTAGAATTCTTGAGCCAGCCATGCTGAGGGGAAAGGGAGGTTTCCAAGCTGAGCCATGCTGGCTGAGGAATTCTGGGAGTTGAAGTCCACGAGTCATCAAAGAGCAAGGTTGCCCACCCCTGTCCTAATCTCATCCCTCAGGACAGGGTGGGGACTATGGCAACTTTATGACCTGTGGACTTCAACTCCCAGAATTCCTGAGCCAGCCATGCTGAGGGGAAAGGGAAAGGTTTCCAAGCTGAGCCATGCTGGCTCAGGAATCCTGGGAGTTGAAGTCCATGAGTCATAAAAGAGCCGAGGTTGCCTACCCCTGCCTTAGGGATTCTACAACGAACTTTCTCAGCTTTTCTAAATTCAAACGAAGGGTTTCGCCTTCGATTCCACTGGAGGCATTTTGCCCTTCATTCATGAGCAGTCCTGGACTTACAACCATATTTGAAACCAGATTTTCTGTCATTAAGCAAGGCGGTTGTGAAGGGAGTTATGCCCAGTTTGACAACCTTTTTTTAACCATGATTGTTTGGTGAATCACTGCGGTCGTTAAATGAATCCAACTTCCCCAACTGACTTTGCTTGTCGGAAGCCAGCTGGGAAGGTAGGCAAACGGTGATCATGTGACTCCCAGGATGCTGCAATCATCGTAAATACATGCTCGGTTGCCAAGCAACCGAACTTTGATTAAAGTTTGATCGATTGCTGGAACTGGGGATGTCTAGTCTAATGAAGAGAAGGATGAGGGGGGACATGATAGCCGCGTTCGAATATCTCAGGGGCTGCCCCAAAGAAGAGGGAGTCAAGCTATTCTCCAAAGCGCCTGAAGGCAGGACAAGAAGCAACGAATGGAAACTAACCAAGGAGAGAAGCAACCTAGAACTAAGGAGAAATTTCCTGACAGAACAATTAATCATTAGAACAATCTGCGTCCAGAAGCTGTGAATGCTTCAACACTAGAAGAGAAGAGATTGGACAACCATTTGTCTGAAATGATATAGGGTTTCCTGCCTGAGCAGGGGGTTGGACTAGATGACCTCCAAGGTACCTTCCAACTTCTATTCTATTCTATTCTATTCTATTCTATTCTACTCTACTCTACTCTACTCTACTCTACTCTACTCTACTCTACTCTACTCTTCTAGACAGGAATAAACTGAGCACCAGCCAGGTGTGTTTTCACTTAACAGTTTATGCAATAAATATTCCATACATGGTTTTGTACACGGTTTCCCTTGGAACAGTGTTCCCAGGTTTTTAAAGAAAAGACCCAAAACACATAATAAATATACAAAGTTCTATACAGGGTGGGGAGAAGTTCTCCCTTCTGATCAAGGAAAGCGGCAATTCCAATCAAAGTGTCCAACACAACTCTCAAGAGCATTTTCACATAAGCCAAATGACTCATGTCATTGCAAAAATCTCATCTGATTTCCAGACAGTGTCCTTTTCTTAGTTAAGGGCATCTTCCAGAGAAATCGGCATGAATTCTCTGGAATAGATTGCCATCTTTCATGCAACTGGCTGGAATCCATACCAACAGCCTGTCTTCCAAAATGCCATTTGAAGTCTTCTCCAGCAGACCATGTGATCAGAAATGTCTTCTGAACTGGGTCCATTTAAAACAACACAAAACATCCAAGCTATCCATTTTCAAGGATCAACAGTTGGAATGCTGGATACCAAACAGGCACTATATGGTAGTTGGACGCCAACAAACACATAAAGCATCCAACTTCTGCCACTGGATCCCTCGTTGATCAGTTTTCCCTTAGAAGGAGATATCCCAGCAAAACCTTGGGGAGAAATGCTACATTCCCAAAGCGATGTTTGTACGAAAAATCTGGTCAGTATCGGGTGTTCTCCTCAGCTGCTGTGACAATTGCATCCATCCAGATCCTCATAGCCTCTGGACTTGGCGCCACCATACAGAAAAGACGATCATAAGTCTTGACGCAGAAGGTCAGTTTGGGGTTGGGACTCTGTCAAAAGTAAAAAGAGAAAAGAAATGAAATGAAAATAATTGGCTTTATTCGCAGACTCTCTTAACCCACTTACTGAATTGATCTATACACGCCCCCGAATTAGGGTCATTTTTTTTTCTTTCTTTCTAGTGTTTTTCTGCCACTGCAGGCTCCACTTTTTCTCCCAGATCAACCAAGTGTTGGTCCACTGGTTCCATAGAAATTGACCAGTTGACTTGTCACTCGAGCCCAACATAGTGGGCTGAGAGAGAGTGACTGGTCCAAAGTACCCCAGATGGCTTTCATAACTAAGGCAGCACTAGAACTCACAATCTCCTGGTGATTGGCCCAAAGGCACCCAGCCAGATTTCATTCCTAAGGCAGCACTAGAACTCACACTCTCCTGGTGATTGTCCCAGTCACCCAGACAAGTTTCATTCCTAAGGCAGCACTAGAACTCACACTCTCCTGGTGATTGGCCCAGTCACCCAGCCAAGTTTCATTCCTAAGGCAGCACTAGAACTCACTCTCTCCTAGTGATTGGCCCAAAGTCACCCAACCAGATTTCATTCCTAAGGCAGCACTAGAACTCACACTCTCCTGGAGATTGGCCCAGTCACCCAGCCAAGTTTCATTCCTAAGGCAGCACTAGAACTCACACTCTCCTGGTGATTGGCCCAGTCACCCAGCCAAGTTTCATTCCTAAGGTAGCACTAGAACTCACACTCTCCTGGTGATTGGCCCAGTCACCCAGCCAAGTTTCATTCCTAAGGCAACACTAGAACTCACACTCTCCTGGTGATTGGCCCAGTCACCCAGCCAAGTTTCATTCCTAAGGCAGCACTAGAACTCACACTCTCCTGGTGATTGGCCCAGTTACCCAGCCAAGTTTCATTCCTAAAGCAGCACTAGAACTCACTGTCTCCTGGTGATTGGCCCAGTCACCCAGACAAGTTTCATTCCTAAGGCAGCACTAGAACTCACACTCTCCTGGTGATTGGCCCAGTCACCCAGCCAAGTTTCATTCCTAAGGCAGCACTAGAACTCACTCTCTCCTAGTGATTGGCCCAAAGTCACCCAACCAGATTTCATTCCTAAGGCAGCACTAGAACTCACACTCTCCTGGAGATTGGCCCAGTCACCCAGCCAAGTTTCATTCCTAAGGCAGCACTAGAACTCACACTCTCCTGGTGATTGGCCCAGTCACCCAGCCAAGTTTCATTCCTAAGGCGGCACTAGAACTCACACTCTCCTGGTGATTGGCCCAGTCACCCAGCCAAGTTTCATTCCTAAGGCGGCACTAGAACTCACACTCTCCTGGTGATTGGCCCAGTCACCCAGCCAAGTTTCATTCCTAAGGCAGCACTAGAACTCACACTCTCCTGGTGATTGGCCCAAAGTCACCCAACCAGATTTCATTCCTAAGGCAGCACTAGAACTCACTCTCTCCTGGTGATTGGCCCAGTCACCCAGCCAAGTTTCATTCCTAAGGCAGCACTAGAACTCACACTCTCCCGATGATTGGCCCAAAGGCACCCAGCCAGATTTCATTCCTAAGGCAGCACTAGAACTCACAGTCTCCTGGTGATTGGCCCAAAGGCACCCAGCCAGATTTCATTCCTAAGGCAGCACTAGAACTCACACTCTCCTGGTGATTGGCCCAAAGTCACCCAGCCAAGTTTCATTCCTAAGGCAGCACTAGAACTCACACTCTCCTGGTGATTGGCCCAAAGTCACCCAACCAGATTTCATTCCTAAGGCAGCACTAGAACTCACACTCTCCTGGTGATTGGCCCAAAGTCACCCAACCAGATTTCATTCCTAAGGCAGCACTAGAACTCACACTCTCCTGGTGATTGGCCCAAAGTCACCAGCTAGATTTCATACCTACGGCAGGACTAAAACTCACCATCTCCTGGTGAGTATCCCAAACTTATCTAGCCAGCTTTCATCCCTAAGACAGGACTAGAACTCACTGTCTCCTGGTTTCTAGCCTGGTGCCTTCATCTTTATAACAAAACGCTGGCCTAAATTAACTCAATGTGCTGGCCTCATTGCTATAAGCAATGGACATAAGCAACCACAGAAAACCTAATTAAGATTTGGATCGCTATATAGTGTGTCAATGCAACCATGAGATTTATAACGGACATTTATAACGCGTGTTGGCGTGAAGTTCATTGTGTAAAAATATAAATTCCGTATTATTTTAAAGAATGACTTGTTTGCCCTTTGTTTATTTAACACTAGCTGTACCCAGCCACGCATTGCTGTAGCTCAGTGTGATTAAATGGAAAAGAAAGAAAAGAGAAAGCGCACGTTTGTAATATGTTTAATTTCACAGTGCTTGTGGGTATACCATATTATTTGTTGTTCCATTGTGTGTGCAGATATAGAGATTACGTCCAACAGATGGTGCTGTTTTTTTAAAAAAACATGTTTTTACCTGTCACAGGTGTGACATCTATATACTATAGGCATATAAAAACACACGCGTATTCGAATGCAACGTTATGTCAAAATTTCAAAGAAATCGGTGAAGAACTTTCGGAGATTTAAGATTTTGAACAAACGAACATTTACATTTTTATTTATATATAGATGTTTGCATACAACTGCCCATGAACCATCACTCTTAGAAATAAATAAAACAGTTAGTGCAAAGGATAATAAAATAAATGTAGAAAAAGATCACAAAGCATTACAGTAAGGTGATCAACCGTCCTCCTTTAGGGAGGACAGTCCTCCTTTTGTAAGTTCTGTCCTCCCTCAAAAAGTGTCCTCCTTCCTGTCCTCCTTTTCGATATTTGAAGATTAATCTGCAGGGCTTTTTTTCGTCGTAGAACGCTCAGAATGGCATTCCGGCACCTTTTTTTGATGGTTTCTTTTTCAACTTTTGCATGAGCTGTGCTACTCCCACTATTGGCTTTCAAAAGCCAATAGGAATTGCTGCTGAGCACGCCAAAACACCTGGCCGGCAAACTTTGCACATGCAAGTTGTCTGTATTATTGTTGCAATGAATAAAATGTTTCTTTTATTTACGATATTTTTTCTTCAATTTATTTGTGTCCTCCTTTTCATTGTAAAAAAGTTGGTCACCTTAATTACAGCATTAACATTTCAAGATAAAGGTCCATAACGAAGCAAACGCAGGGCTGTTAGCAGTTAAAACTGGCAGTAATTAAAACTGGGTTGTAAAGGGGAAAAGCTAAATACATAAAAAATATGTCTTGGAGCTTTCCTTTAGTGATGTCAGTGAAAAAGTCAAGATAATTAATTTGGGGAGGGAAGGAAGTATGCAAAATGTGACAACTTTTCCAAGGAATTCAGAGCAACTTGATCTTGAACTTGTTTCATTATTCAGTTATTTGAACTACTGCAGGGGAGTATACAGAGGTGATGGGAAACTTTGAAGAGATTGCTATTTGCTCAGTTCCTGCCCTCTTCAAGTAAGATTCCCAGGCCTAACATAAAGGGGAAAAGCTTCTTTTGTATAAATAGTTCTGGATAACATTTATTAGGTATAAGATGGTTCTCAAGAACTGTTTTGCTTGAGGCAGTTCAAACTTCATGTCTCTGTTCCTGGAAATTACTGAGTTTACGGTTATATATACTATGTCAGATGTTGTCTGCCTGGAATTGTGACTCTTGGGGTGTGTGAAATATTTGGGGGGGAGGGGTAGGAGATAAGAAGTTGGATTGCTGTTCCAACTTAGCCTGGACAAACGTGCATAAGTAAAAACTGTCTGTGTTTGTGGCTAGAAAAAAAACAAGCATCAAATCAAAAAGTATGTGGGATGAAAATCAAAATGTCTCAGACTTTAGGAATTAGGCAAAATAGAGCACGCTCACCTTTTTCATTCAGAAACCAAAAAGATACGGTGGGATTGTTTTATTGTTTATTTCTAATGAAGAGGTTTTATTTGATAAAGTTGCAAGGCTGCACTGTGGTTTTACTTGACACAGACTTGGTTAAAATGTGAATATTGAAAAGAAGCGGCATGCACATTTTTGCCTAAGTCCAGGGAAATGATCAGTGGAGGAGAACAGTGTCAAATATATCTCGCTATCATTCAGAGGGAGACGTAACTCTTGTAGTATTTAACTGATAGGCTGATAACATCCTTGTTTCTGATCAAACCAGCCTATAACAGCTACTAACAAAAATCGAACATCATAAATAAAACCCTAAATTCATGAAAATACACTACTTTCTCAAACTTGACAATTTTAAGACAAGTGGATTTCAACTCCCAGAATTTTCCAGCTAACTGGGGGATTCTGGGAGTTGAAGTCCACATGACCTAAAGTCACCAAGTTCGAGAAACAATGCATACTATACTATAATATATAATATCATCTAACAATAGACAGAGACAGAATTGAAATTCACAGCCCAAGCAGACAGTCTTAAAAGCAGTCTAGAGCAGAAGGCTTAGGTGTAAAACTTAATTTTTAAAATTTTAAGATGCAGCCCAGTATTGTGGAAATTTATTCAAAACGAATCAGTTTGGATGGTTCCAAAGAATAATAAAGTAAAAGCCATTTTTGAGGAGCAATTCTGGGAAGGGATGGCTGGGCCACTCAAGCACAAAATTCTAATGGTCCAAATTGGTTTGGATCCTACAGGCCCTCTCAAGTCTGCATGAATTAAAAAAGAGACTTTCGGCAAATCTCTATTCTTGGTACCTTGAAAGCACTACGGAGATGGTCGCAGTAAACTTCTTCAATGGCCTGGAAGTAGATCACACCCTTAAGCTTGGTCTCTTCTTTGTCTGGAGAAGGAATAAAATAAAACCACAGGATCATGTTAGCAAGTTGGGGAGAACATAAAATGAAGGCCCAATGGATAAAATGAGAGAGGTGAAAATTCCTTGCTCTAATCTTTTCTTTAAGCACCTCTTCCTTCCCCTGTCCTGACCACTTTCTACACGGGGACGATCGAGAGCATCCTGTCATACAGCATCACAGTCTGGTTTGGATGCATCCCTGCTTCAGACAGGAAGGCGGTGCAGAGAGTGGTGAGGATGGCAGAAAAGATGATTGGCAGTTCCCTCCCTCCCATCCAGGACATAGCACAGAAGCGCTGCTTGAGCAGGGTCCGTAAGATTATCTGGGACCCTACACATCCTCTCCACGACCTGTTTTCCTTGCTACCTTCTGGGAGGGGGTTTCGTGGTATCCGCCGCAGAACATCCACATTCAGTCATAGTTTCATTCTATACAGCGTTAACCTTGTGAACTCTCAAGCGTCCTCCTTCCGCTATATATTCAAGATGGACGGTGTTTAATATTTATTTGTCATGTATATGTAGGGGAGTGGGTCTATACCTATGTTGTATATAGTACATTTTAGGGGTATGTCATGTATGTGTTTCACTTTGAGAGCGGGCAATTAAATTTTGTTTCTGATGTGTGCTGTTGTGCCCACAGTAAAAAAAAATGACAATAAAGGTTATCTGATCTTACAATAAGATTAAACAGGTCAATTCAAGACCTACTGCCAGTGGAAGGCCACGTCTTCTCCATCAGCAGCAGAGAGTGTAACATGGTGGAGAAGGAGCTACCTGTCTCGATTCTCTCTCTCACCTGTGTAGTACGCCAAGACCCGCTTCTGGCGATCAAAGGTGAACCAACGTTTCTTCCAAGTTTTGATCCTCCCGCCCATTTTGACCAGGTAACCTTTGCAAGATTTGCTGGTCACTCTCACGTGCTGGCAGGTCTCGACGCTATGTCCCGAGGCCTCTAGATGTTTGCGTAGGTCAAAGGCAGCTGGTTTAGGTTCCTGGATCTCCATGTGGTTGTGGATCTGTAGGACAAGAAGAAGGCAAGGCTTAAAACCAGACAGATGTCAGTCCAAGGAAGCTCTGTGCTGTAATAATAATAATAACGTTGGAAGGGACCTTGGAGGCCATCGAGTCCAACCCCCTGCTCAGGCAGGAACCCTACAACATTTCAGACAAATGGCTGTCCAGTCTCTTCTTAAAAACGTCCAGTGTTGGAGTATTCACCGCTTCTGGAGGCAGGTTGTTCCACTGGTTAATTGTTCTAACTGTCAGGAAGTTTCTCCTTAGTTCTAGGTTGCTTCTCTCCTTGATTAGTTTCCATCTGTTGTTTCTTGTCCTGCCTTCAGGTGCTTTGGAGAATAGCTTGACTCCCTCTTCTTTGGGGCAGCCCCTGAGATATTGGAACCCTGCTATCATGTCCCCCCTCGTCCTTCTCTTCGTTAAACTAGACATACCCAATTCCAGCAACCATTCCTTATATATTTTAGCCTCCAGTCCCCTAATCATCTTTGTTGCTCTTCTCTGTACTCTTTCTAGAGTCTCAACATCTTTTTTTACATCGTGGTGACCAAAACTGGATGCAGTATTCCAAGTATGGCCTTACCAAGGTATTGTAAAGTGGTATTAATACTTCACGTGATCTTGATTCTATCCCTCTGTTAATGCAGCCCAGCACTGTGTTGGCCTTTTTGGCAGCTGCAGCACACTGCTGGCTCCTATTTAAGTGATTGTCCACTAGGACTCCAAGATCCCTCTTACAGTTACTACTATTGAGCAAGGTACCCCCTATACTATACCTGTACATTTGGTTTTTCTTGCCTAAATGTAGAACCTTACTTTTTTCACGATTGAATTTCACTTTGTTAGATAGATTTTGGGATCTCAGCATTCTTCCTACACTGCCATGTTGGAATAAATGGTCCATCCCTGTAACATAAGCAACTGTTCTAAAGATGAGTCTTCCATGGGCCCCTCAGCGTATCTTAGCAGGAGACCAGAAAATAAGCTTCTAATCTTTCTAACTTCTTCCAACCTGTATCTTCACTATTTAGATCAGGGGTATGCAACCTTGGCAACTTTAAGACCTGTGGACTTTAGTTCCCAGAATTCCCCAGCCAGCCCTGCTGAAGTTGAAGTTCACAGGTCTTAAAGGTTGCCATAGTTGGATGCCCCTGATTTAGATGATCACCACTGATGAAAATACTAAAGATTAAACTGAACTCTAAATCTGGAGTAATAAGACATGCTCATTAAACATTCTGGACCCGAACCAACAATGACATTATAACGCAACAGGATAGCCCGATTCACACAGCATGCCTACCCCTGGATTCCCCTAAGCCAGGGGTAGGCAACCTTGGCTCTTTTATGATTCGGGGACTTCAACTCCCAGAATCCCTGAGCCAGCCATGCTGAGGGGAAAAAGAGAGGTTTCCAAGCTGAGCCATGCTGGCTCAGGAATTCTGGGAGTTGAAGTCCACGAGTCATAAAAGAGCCAAGGTTGCCTACCCCTGAACTAACAGGACAAACTTCCCAACCCCATTTTAACCTGGTTTAGCTGGCTAAGAAAATCCACCAAGCCATAATTAAGACAAACCTTGACATTTTCAATAGATTCCCTTCCCTCTCAGCTCAAACACCAATCTCCTCAAAGATCGAAAATATGATCTGATAAGGTATGATAACTAATTGGATATCTGAAGTTTGAGTAATGAATTGAAAGGAATTAAGATTTAACATTTTTTTAAATTAAGTTAGTTATCACTGGAAGAAGAAATGAATGAGATTGGTGATAAGAAGAGGGCTGAGAGAAATTAAAAACTTCAATATACATGGTAGAGATACCTGAAGTGATAATTTGTTGATGTAAAACAATATTTGATTATGGTAATTTTAAACTGATAAAGGTTTAAAACAGGTGGAGCAATAACAGGAATTTAAGCTAGAAATGGAATATATTAAATCTATTATTTGTGAGAAATAGAGAGATGATAGTGAATGTATTAAGTTGAGCTCTTTATGTATGTTTTTTACCTTGAATTGTTTGTTTACCCAAACACCACGGTGTGTCTAAAGTACTTTTTGTTAAAATTAAAAAAAAAACAATAAAATATATTTTTAAAAAAAAGATCGAAAAAGATTGGCAAAGCAAATTTATATTCTTGGGTTCTAGATAAGGACAAAGATTTTCTTACCACGTTCGAAGGGGATAATTCCATACGTTTCACCTCCTCAGCTACTTTCTTAGCTTCCTGAAAGGAAAGACGGTGGAAGGCGGTTTGCACATGGTAAGAATGTGGGACCGGAACCCCATTCCAGCAGCTGCAGACATATCAGCCCCCTCAAAAAAAAAAAAACAACCCAAAAACCAAAAAACCAAGCATACGCAAGACCACAAGCTCTTTCTCTTCCTCCAGGACAAACTCTAGATATTTTTACGGCAGGAAGAGCCGTCAAAAAGCTGACGGGGTGAAATTTGCAACTTCCTCATTTTCAAAATCACATGAGAAGCAGATGAGAAGCAGGGTTACTCCGGTTTAGAGCAAAAAATCACAGCAATGAGCCGGAGGTGATGATATGATGTTACGTTTTTTTTCCCATGATAGAAACTTTAGGGTGATTAGAAAGATTCCCAACCTGGCTATGTTCTTAAGTCAGGGATGCTGTATATGTTAAGGGTCCCGGTTCTTGGCTGCATTGTTAACTAGTCTTGCTCCTATGTATATTTAATCTGGATGTTTTTAGCATTTTTAATTATAATGTGTTTTCTAAATTGTAAGCTGCCCAGAGCCATGGATTGAGATGGGCAGCTATAGAAATAGGAAGGAAGGAAGGAAGGAAGGTAGGAAGGAAGGAAAAGAAAAAAGAAAGAAAGAAAGAAAGAAAGAAAGAAAGAAAGAAAGAAAGAAAGAAAGAAAGAAGAATGGAAAGAAAGAAAGAAAGAAAGAAAGAAAGAAAGAAAGAAAGAAAGAAAGAAAGAAAGAAAGAAAGAAAGGAAGGAAGGAAGGAAGGAAGGGAAGGAAGGAAAGAAAGAAGAAAGGAAGAAAGAAAGAAAAAAGAAAGAAAGAGAGGGAGGGATGGAAGGAAGGAAGGAAAGAAAGAAGAAAGGAAGAAAGAAAGAAAGAAAGAAAGAAAGAAAGAAAACAAAGAAGGAAGGAAGGAAAGAAATAAAAAAGAAAGAAGGAAAGAAAGAAAGAAAGGGAGGGAGGGAGGGAAGGAAGGAAAGAAAGAAAGAAAGAAAGAAAGAAAGAAAGAAAGAAAGAAAGAAGGAAAAAAGAAAGAAAGGAAGGAAGGAAGGAAGGAAGGAAGGAAGGAAGGAAAGAAAGAAAGAAAGAAAGAAAGAAAGAAAGAAAGAAAGAAAGAAAGAAAGAAAGAAGGAAAAAAGAAAGGAAGGAAGGAAGGAAGGAAGGAAGGAAGGAAGGAAAGAAAGAAAGAAAGAAAGAAAGAAAGAAAGAAAGAAAGAAAGAAAGAAAGAAAAAAAGAAAGAAAGAAAAAAAGAAAGAAAGAAAAAAGAAAGAAAGAAAGTCCCCAGAGGTGCTTTTCAAAAGGCAACTGGACTTTCTTGATTGAGAATCTCCTTAGATGAATGAATGAATGAATGAATGAATGAATGAATCACAAAAACTTGGCTATGGTCCAGGAGTTGAGTCTACCTCTTACCCTTTCTTGCAGCAATCGTTCCCGTTCCGCCATGGCTTCCCGCACCCGGCGTTCCATCTCTGCCAGTTTGGTGACGCAGTTTTCAAGGCTGTTGGGAGAAATACCCAGATAATGCCAATCAATCCAGATGTATGGCCAATGGAAAGGAAACAGGCCCACTATAGGAAATCTTTGATTCCTCAGACCATATAATTTTAAGATAGGAAGTGATCTTGGAATTTAATCCATTAGGTCACTTGGTGGAACAATTTTGTACCTGTAGCATCCCTGAGAATTGTTTGAAAGTTGAGTCACAGCAACTGGACTTACATTCTTGTTAGTTTGAGATGTTTCGCTGCCCCTCCAAGCAGCTTCTTCAATCTGAACAAGTCGGTTAGAGGAATTTGAGTAGGCAAAGAGTCATTGGAATGTGCCGAATCCTAAACTTCTAGGGGGATCCCCGCACCAGCTGTTGGGATGGGCAGCAAAACCTCTCAAACCAACAAGAACATAAGTCCAGTTGCCCCGGGTCAACCTCCAGACATTTCTACCTGGATGACTAAGAATCTTCATCGACATCGCTCAGAGTTGATCACCTGGACTCTGCCTAAATACCTCTACTCTTGGACTAGAACTAGAGAGAGCTAGTTAAAGTCAAAAGTGAGCAAATAGTGCAACATCAAAAGTGCAGTATTAGGGGCAACGCAATGGTGAATAGAATGTGAAGGATGTATGTAAATAAAGTATGTTCTTATTTGTGGTTTTAACTTGGGTGTAGTGTGCACTGTGGACAGCACTTAATTTTGTTGTGAGTTACACAATGACAATAAAGATATTCTACTCTATTCTATTCTATTCCATTCCATTCTCTAGTCCAGTCCCGTATTCTATTCTATTCTATTCTATTCTATTCTATTCTATTCTATTCTATTCTATTCCATTCCATTCCATTCTCTAGTCCAGTCCCGTATTCTATTCTATTCTATTCTATTCTATTCTATTCTATTCTATTCTATTCTATTCTGTTCTGTTCTGTTCTGTTCTGTTCTGTTCTGTTCTATTCTATTCTATTCTATTCTATTCTATTCTATTCTATTCTATTCTATTCTATTTATTCTATTCTATTCTATTCTATTCTATTCCATTCCATTCCATTCCATTCCATTCTAGGGAGTGGGGAGAGGAAATGTGAAATTTCTTTTTCCAGTAGGGCTGCCCTAGTCTTATGAGTCTTATACCCTGAACCTATCTCATCATTCATAAGAACATGGATTCCTTAGCAGCTGTGGATAGAATGACATTTGGGGGAGGGCCAATTTAGTTTTTCCGGAGACGACTGTAAAGGACAAACTTAACTAAAACTTTGGTGAAGCGGGCTGGAATTAAAGAATGAAAGGCATCAATGGGATGAGAATAGGATGATCTGACCTGTAAGCTCCTTGCGAAGTTCCGCCCAGCTGCCTGGTAGTTGCCTGGCCACCCAGCAGCTGGTAAAGGGGTTTGTTGTAACGTGAGAATTGGAGGTTTGGGCTTCCCAGATAATGACCATTGCTTCCACTGGAGAGCTGAGCCACGAGAAGACTGGGATCCAGAGCACCTAGAAGAGATAAGCAGATGCCAAGATAAGATTAAGATATCTTAAAATAAACTTCATTTTGGCCCAGTTGCTACTTTTGGTCCAGCTTATGATTTCAAAACTGTCCTACTGACCTTGTTAGGATCGTATTTGAGTGGGAAAACCCCTTTTGTCTGCCAAAACTCTCATTCAGTATTGACAATCGGTGAAGGAAGAATATTCAACACTACCAAAGAATTTTGTGGCACTTCAATTAACACCAATGTGTCATGGTTCCAACAGATGAAACTCTTCAAAGCACTTCGAGGCATTGTTTACCTTAAAGAATCTTTATTCAAGTTGCATGGCATTGGCATGTACATGGTAGAAGCCGAAATCTGAATTCCCCTCCCATGAGCACATAGTATCAAAGCACAATTCCCTCCTCTAATTAACAGTCATAAATCACATTCTCCAATTAGTTTGAATTGCAGACTTTCCCTCCTGTTCTCTAACCCACCAATTCTTATCACCTCTTATTTCAAGCTCTGAATTTACACACGAATACAATATTGTTATGTCTAACTAACTCCCACCACATTTTGCCTCCTCCGCCAGCATCATCTAATTCTAAGAGTAAAGCATAAGAAAGAAAAAGGCTGCATCTTCATATGTTGTCAAAGCAAGAACATTCAATGTTAGCAGCGTTGACATGATGCTTGTATGGGACCAATGGCATCATCCAAATGTCCCCTAACCCCGCAGTCTTTTTCTACCTCTCTCCCTTGGAATTCCAGACCAAGAAATCAAATGTAACCACTGAACAAATTCTCATGTAAAAACTCAGAGATCTTGAGAAACTTGGCTATGATGTGAGTTTTCAACGATGCTCCTTTATAAGAAAATGTCCCGTTTTTAATTTTAGTGATCAGTGGGTACCAAAGGGTGGGTGTTCCACTTGTACAGGTGGTTCCCCCATATCCACACACCCCAATCCACCCACTGAACCCATACCATGCATTGAAATGGGACGTTGAGGAGAGCACGCCGGGAGACGGTTCTTACTTCTGCGAGATAGACTGGCAGTCCGCTGCAGTCCAAGAGAACTCTGTGAAGGAAAAGCAAAGAACGTAAAGCAGGGGTCTTCAAACTTGGCCACTTTAAGACTTGTCGACTTCAACTTCCAGAGTTCCTCAATTCTGGGAGTTGAAGTCCACCAGTCTTAAAGTGGCCAAGTTTGAAGACTCCTGACTGGCTGAGGAATTCTGGGAGTTGAAGTCCACCAGTCTTAAAGTGGCCAAGTTTGAAGACTCCTGACTGGCTGAGGAATTCTGGGAGTTGAAGTCCACCAGTCTTAAAGTGGCCAAGTTTGAAGACCCCTGAGGTAAAGGAAGTCTCCTTCAGCAGCAGTTTGAATGAGTATAACCAGGCCTTCCCAAGATGCAATTTGCTTCTGCATCCGTTGTGGTTCTTTGATCTTGTCTTGATCTGTTCCTCACTCACTAATGAGTTGAATTCTGGGTGTTTATCTCATGGAAACAGAATCCTGGGCCACTTCAAAATGTTAGCTGGGTTCACACAACTACTTCACCCAGGTCAGCTAATTGTGAATAGTGCAAGGCTACGCTGGGTTGCTGGCTGGGGAATTCTGGGAGCTGAAGTCCATATATCTTAAAGTTGCCACAGTTAAGAAACACTATTCTACAGAAATTACTCCATCCCTTTAAGACCCCTTTTTCCTTAGGCACAGTAAACAAATAAAACTTTAGTCTTGAGTCATGCTAAAGTTTGGGGGATTTCTTTGTTAATCTTATTCTTCCTGTTTAGTGTCTTTGGTCATTAATCATTTTTAAGAGGTTGGGCTAAGTTTACAAGCTACTTTTTTCAGCTGTTTTCCAGTAAGTTTTAAACAAAAAGATTTGGGGAGGATAGAGGCAGAAAATTCATTGGAGAACATTCACATCCCTTAAACATTAATTTTAATGGTAACCCAAATCAATATAAGGATTCTCTCCATTATTTTGGGTAACAGAAGTGAGTAACTAGTATGGAAACCTCAAAATACAAAATTCTTCTTTATATTCTATTATTCAATATTCTAAATGTTCTCTTCTGAAATAAACTCAGCAAATGTTGGTAATTTAGGGCCAATTCAAGCTTTTTGCTAAAGCCTAAGGATTATCTAAATGCTGTCATAATATATATTCCATCTTTATATTTCACCTTTTTATTTCCTAATGAAGAAAAATCCATTAAAAGTTACCAGAGATAACAACAAATCTATTTTAACCTTGATCAAATAAACCAACCTTATATCCTTTTACTTTTAACAAAGATCAAAATTGTTTAAAAAAGTAAAAGGAAGGAATATTGTTATTGTATCTCTACCGTACTTCTTTGTGTACAGTTCAGGATAATTGGTCCCATTACCCCAAGAAACTGACATTGCTGCTTTTTATATTATTTAACCACTAGTTCTATAATACTCTATTTCAGGGATGTCAAACTCACAATGTCACATGACGTGTCACGACGTATCGTGACTTTTTTCCTATTGCCGGCAATTGGGTGGGCACGGTTTCACTATGATGCTTCCAGCCCGTGGGCCAGCAGTTTGACACCCCTGCTCTATTTATAGAAGCTCTTTTAATAATAATAATAATAATAATAATAATAATAATAATACCACCATCAAACATCCACATCTGCCTATCCCAGGTCCTGGGTTAAGGACTCGATAGGTAGACAAAATGCCAAATCCAGTCTGAATATCTGGCTGACTGTGCGATGATCCATAATAATAATAAATAATAAAGTTGGAAGGGACCTTAGAGGTCATCGAGTCCAACCCCCTGCTCAGGCAGGAAACCATATACTATTTTGGACAAATGGCTGTCCAGTCTCTTCTTAAAGACTTCCAGTGTTGGAGCATTCACCGCTTCTGAAAGCAGGTTGTTCCACTGATTAATTGTTCTAACTGTCAGCAAGTTTCTCCTTAGTTCTAAGTTGTTTCTCTCCTTGATTATTTTGCTTCTTGTCCTGCCTTCAGGCACTTTGGAGAATAGCTTGACTCCCTCTTCTTTGGGGCAGCCCTGAGATATTGGAAGGCTGCTATCATGTCTCCCCTCGTCCTTCTCTTCATTAAACTAGACATATCTAATTCCAGCAACCGTTCCTTATATGTTTTAGCCTCCAGTCCCCTAATCATCTTTGTTGCTCTTCTCTGTACTCTGTCTTGAAATCCAGCACAGAAATCCACAACAAACAGACAAATAAATGTTGATCGGGCACCCTCTCTCAACAGCAACAGATATGATGGGAGAAAAAGACAATGCAAATCTTAAGCTTTTGTATCACTTTAGCCCATGTAAAAGGACGGCACTGAATATTAACCCAGGCCAAAGAGACACAACTGACCTTGACAGAACTGCAGACAGAGAAGACACAGGAGGATGCATCTGATTGGTCGGAACCCAAGACAATGACCTTCCGATCCGTTTTTTGGGTAAAAGTCAGCTGCAGGGAGACAGACACTTATCAGTGTGAGCATCACTCCTGGATGGAGGGTGGGGTGGAGGAAAGGGCCTGCTTTTCCAAATACAAAATGCCATATCCAAGCAGGTCCTCCAGATGTTGTTGAAACTTCAACCCTGGAGCATCTGGAGGACCCCGTAATCCCCATTCTCTGAACTAGAACCGAACTAACGTGAGAAGGGACTTAAGGACTGAATTTGCACACTGTGTCAGGTGAGGCTAAAAAGGGGCTGGATTCCGCACGTTGTGGGATTCCGGCCTTAGTATTGGCATGTTGCGTGAACAGCAGCCCAGGTGTAAGAATTCAGGCCCAGCACGGTTTTCTCCTTTCATAAGACATGACTGCCTCTTCTATATCAGTGGTGGCGAACCTATGGCACGCGTGCCAGAGATGGCACTCAGAGCCCTCTCTGTAGGCACGTGCACCGTTGCCCCAGCCCTGCCTCCCCCCGCAGCCCCTGCAGCCCCCTCAGCACCACCAGCCTGCCCGGAGGAGAGGCTCCCCCAGGTGCAGTCCATGCAGAGCAGCACAGCCAAGCACATGGCAGCCGGGCAGCAGGGGAAAGACTCTATCCTCATGCATCAGTGCAGATGCTGCTGTGGGGTGCGGGCGTAGGGCGTAGCCGCCATGGTGCTGCCAGGCTGCCTGGGCAATCTGTGGTGAGTGGCCCTGTGGGCGGGCTGAGCAGGGAGCAGAGCGGGAGGGCAGAGCAGGGACAGAGCAGGGGATGGGCCTGTTTTGGGGCACTCGGTCTCTAAAAGGTTCACCATCTCTATTCTTTATCCTCATATTCTTGTTCAACAACCTGAGAAGCAGCTCAGCTCAAGTCACTTCTGCGCTCCATGGCTTTGTGACATCCTGCAAACAAATTCTCTTTCCTAGTACTCTTAAAGAGGGTTGGAAGAAAAAGATAAAAGAGGCAGAAATGTGGATAGGTAAGGAATTTTGCTGCTTGAACACACTTCTCCACATTGCAACATCCCACTTTTTAAATTACAGTACCAGAAGACGCTGCCCTCTGTTTTGATCTCCTATGAGCAGGAAGCATCACGACACTACCACAACCCTGTAAGATAGGCAGGGCTGAGAGCTTGCTTTGATTCCCAAGCTCAAACTGGGTGACTTTGGGCCAGTCTTTCTCTCTAGGCCAGGGGTCAGCAACCTTAAACACTCAAAGAGCCACTTGGACCCATTTCCCAGAGAAAAGAAAACACTGGGAGCCACAAAACCTGCGCGTGCGAGGGAGGGGAGCTTGATTGAAGAGTTTAATTAAAAAGAAATAGAGACTGCTGTGGAGAGAGAGGGGGGAGGAGAGAAAGCGCTGCTGCTTTCTGCTGCTTCCTGCTACTTCCTGCTTCCTGTTTCCTGCTGAGACGCAGCAAAGGCAGGAGCCCCGTCCAATAAACTTGTCAGCTTGTCTGAGAACAGCATGAGGCCACTCTGTTTATTATACACACACACACACACACACACACACACACACACACACACACACAGAGAGAGAGAGAGAGAGAGAGAGAGAGAGAGAGAGAGAGAGAGAGAAGGGAAGTGCAAGTGCCTCTCTCTCTCTCTCTCTCTGTGCAAATGGCGGAGGAGGCTGGGAGCCACAGGAGAAGGCTTAAAGAGCCACATGCGGCTCTGGAGCCGTGGGTTGCTGACCCGTGCTCTAGGTCCAACCTACCTCACAGGGTTCTTGTAGTTGGGCAAATAGGAGGAGAAAGGCTGTGGATCTGTTCACTGCCTTGAGTTATTTGCAAAAATAATATAAGCAGGATATCAATAAATACAGGCAGTCCTTGATTTACAACAGTCTGTTTAGTGACCGTTCAAAGTTATAACAGCACTGAAAAAAATGACTCATGACTTTTTTTCACACTTATGACCATTGCAGCTTTCCCACGGTCACGTGATCAACGTTCAGACGCTTGGCAGCTGACTCACACTTATGACGATCGCAGTGTCCCAGGGTCATGGGATCCCCTTTTGCAGACCTTCTGACCAGCAAAGTCAATGGGGAGGGGAAGCCAGCTTCACTTAACAACCGGATTACTAACTTATCAACTGCAGTGATTCACTTAACAACCGCGGCAAGAACGGTCGTAAAATGGGGCAAAGCTCACTTAACAACAGAAACGTTGGGCTCAATTATGGTCATCAGCTGAGGATTATCTGTAAAAAATAAAACCACTCTGCAATGAAGCCACTTGGCTGAGCTTCTCCAACCACTGTGTTTCAGCGCCCCCCCCCAACACACAAAAGTTGCATCTGTTAAAATTTCTACCTGCTTTGATTCATTAAAAGCCATGAAAAGGGGAAGAGAGTAGCCGTCTGTGTCTGGACGTGCCCTAATGTGCAGGATCACCAGGTCCTCCTGAATGGGCAATTCAGCCTTGGATGCCCTCAAGAAGAGGGAGATAGAGAAGCACTGCAAAGTCCTAGAGAGGCTTACCTGTGTCACGCCCTCCTTATTTTCTGACAGGCCCTCCCCGTTCTCCGAATACTCCTGGCTCATGTCCACGAGGCGGCTTTTCTCCTAAATGCAGGCAAGCAACGAGTCATTCTTTGAGACAGGAAAGCCATTTCACAATGTTTGGAGAAGTTTCTGCGGAAGCATATCTCAGCCTGTCCTATCAGCTGCATTGGGCTGCCACCTAATGTCACCACTTAGACCCGTGTTTTTCAAACTTGGCAGCTGGAAGGTTTGTGGACTTCAACTCCCAGAATTCCAAAGCGTGGACTTCCAACTCCCAGCTGGCTGGGAAGTTCTGGGAGTTGAAGTCCACACACTGGCATTCGTGTTTCCAAGTTTGAAAAAGACCCACTTAGACGATCGTGTACAAAATCCCATACCCTGCTATGAGAAAACTCAAATTCTCCTCTACTCAAGGTACAAAAGAACTAAAATAAGGCAAGGAGGTTTCAATAGATGAGAGGTTTCCAGCTTCTGCAGAGTCTTCTGAATGGCTGGAGGGAAACTCGGTGAACTAAAATTCTAGGATGAATTAGACAAGGAGGCTTTGGAGAGATCGGAAGTGCAGGGTTGGGTGTCAATAATAACTTATTTCTTATGTTGAAAACACCTGAGACTTAGAGTAGTAAGGAGTATCTGCATATCCAGAGCATGTTGCAACCCAAGAGTTTCAGACATAATGCTGTATCTGCAGATTCTGTTCATGTAGGGTTCTTATGCATTAACGTCAGCTAAAAATACCCCACTGTCTCCCTACTAGTTCACTTCTTTCACTGAATGTATAAGTCCTTGACTTACAACCATTATTGGGACTGGAATTTCTGGTTGCCCAGCACCCAAATTTTGATCACACGACCGTATGGATGTGTGACTGTTGTAAATTCCCTTTTCCCAGCGCCACTGTAACTTCAAACAGTGGCTAAACGGATGGCTGTAAGTCAAGGACTACCTGGTTTCAGATGTCCACCCAGGAAAAACCCAGAGCTTTTTTCCCATGCTGGTCTATTCCATCAGCTTTTAGATCCATGATTAGGTCAGCCAACGTTTGGAAGAATCAAAGCATTGTCCTAAGTTGCTCAAGGGCGGGAAAGCTGAGCTAGCAGCTCCTAAAGCAGTGGTTCTCAACCTTTTTAATGCTGTGACCCCCAACCGGTCGTATGTCGAGGACTACTCAACTGGTGCAGCACCGTTTGCAGAAGGGGACTTTTGGCGGGCTCAGCAGGGCAGAGACAGCCTGGACAATTCCTACTGGCTATTGAAAGCCAATAGAATTAGACTCTATTCAAGAGAGTCTATTCTATTGGCTTTCAAAAGCCAATAGAATAAAAGGGAGCAGCACAGCTAAGGAAAAGGGGGGAAAAAATGGCGGACAGCCTTGTTTGGCGACCCCTGTGAAATGGTCGTTCGACCCCAAATGGGGTCCCGACCCACAGGTTGAGAACCACTGTTCTAAAGTCTCCAGCACTGTCTGATCTCAAAACATAATTTGATCTTCCAACAAGCCTTCTGAAAAGCATCCAGATCTAATCCTGGTTCAAGAAGGAGGTTTCTCCCCAAACAAACCACCTCCAGGAACCCAGCGAAATGTCACCCTTGAGCTCTCACCACAGATTCGAAAGAGAAGAAGGTACTTAGTTGAGGGATTCAGAACGATAGCTGGCAAGTTTCGAAAGTGTGAGAAAATGGGCAGGCAAAATCGAGTGTGGAAACCAGGATAGAGAACGCTTCTTGGCAGCAGAAAAGGGATTCCTTACCGCGTTGAGATTGCTGACAGCCTCTCCCTCCTCTTGTGCAAATCTCTGACACACACCCATCATTTGTTCTTGTGTTAGAAGGGCTTGGCCTTCCAGCTTCTGCACTGTCTTCTGAAGGGGTGGAGAGAAACTTGATAAACTAAAATTCTAGGATTTCAAGAAAAACAGTAATTCTCCCTACAGATAGCCCCTGTTCAAAAGTGACAGGTGCTGTTAAGAAAAAAAACCAAAACAAAAAAAAAACCAGTGCAACTGTGGAATCATCAACCCATTACAAAATGTTTTGCTGATGATTCGTTTACTTTTTACAGGGATGTTGTGGTTAAGAGTGTGCGTTGTCTAAAAGATACAGTACAACGCGCTATAAAAAAAATCAAAGGATCTCAAGGCAGAGGCAATTTCGCCAACAGCTTAAGGTTCCTATAAGATAAAAGTAAATCCATTGTTTTCTATTGTCTTTCATTCTGAAGACTACAAAATTCCAGATGGCCTTCAAAAGCAAACTGGCAAAAATTTAAAGCTTGAACTCCCTAATTTACTTGTTGCTTAGTTTAAACTCAGCTTTCTCAAGTGACCAAGTTACAGTTCAACCACATCTAAGTTTGCAGTCAAAATAAAATGTTTCCAGAAGTATGTGTCATTATTTTGGGGCACAATCTGGGATGTTCATTTATCAATAACATCTATCACGAATGAAGGTGATAGATATATGTGTCCCATATACATACATATGTTTTCTGAGGTTTTCGCGGGTGTTTGTATGTAGGTCTTTGGTTATTCAGGTTTTCTCCCGCGTAAAATTGGAAGTGTCTTGGCGATGTTTTGACAAAGTCCCATTCGTCATCTTTAGGCTGGTGTTTTCGGCTTCGTGCTTCTAGGAGCAATGCCGAAAACACCAGCCTGAAGATTAAGAATGGGACTTCGTCAAAACATCGCCAAGACACTTCCAATTTTACGTGGGAGAAAACCCGAATAACCAAAGACCTACATACAAACACCCACGAAAACCTCAGAAAATACATATATATACATATACATATGCTGGAAAATTTGCATAAAAATACGACTCCTGGGCATGTCTATGGTACAAATAAAATACGAACACCAGGAGAGTATAAATATAAAAATATACTTTACTAAAAGCTGCCAAGTTTTCGTTTGGAAACTCCAAACATCATCAGGGCTAAGGAGCCAGTAAACAATGATGACTTAAATGGGTTTTGCCAGCATCTGCAGCCGGCTCATGGACCGCGTCACCGGTCCCGGCCGGTTAATTGGTGTTCCAGATGTTTCTTTATTATTATTAAGCATAAGGAGAGTAATAAAGAAACATCTGGAATACTAATTAACCGGCCGGGACCGGTGACGCGGTCCATGAGCCGGCTGCAGATGCCGGCAAAACCCATTTAAGTCATCATTGTTTACTGGCTCCTTAGCCCTGATGATGTTTGGAGTTTCCAAACGAAAGTTTGGCAGCTTTTAGTAAAGTATATTTTTATATTTATACTCTCCTGGTGTTCGTATTTTATTTGTACCACATATACATATACATATACATATACATACATACATACATACATACATATATGGATAATGTTACAGGAACCAATCTGGGTGGGTCACTGGAATCTGAGGTTTAATCTTCCAAGCTTTCAGACTTGTGCTAAGCCCATCCTCAGGAAATTTCTCTCTAGCAGAGTGTCTACTGTTCTGTGTGTGGTATTTATATGGTACCTGTTGTGTATGCCTTTTTAGATGTTGATAGGGGTGTGCTGGCGGCTGGCTATTAAATTGTTGAAGTTGACAAAGACTCAGATTGGATCCAATAGCATCTATATTTCTGCCTATCGTTTTCTAAAAGATGGCCTTATCTACTCAGTTCCCTTCAAACATATTCAATCAAGTTCCATAAATCCTAAATGACATTTCCTTTGACAACGCTGGCTCAGCATCCTTGGTACCAAGGTCCAACATAACTGGAGGAAACCAGATTGAGGAGGACTTAACAGGACAATCGCGGACTGGAAACCGAGAGAAGAAAATTGAGACTAGAACTGGATCACAAAGGATTAAGCAAACCACTTCTCACCTTCCTTTGGTTGATGCTGTTCTGCAACTGGGTGATCTCTTCAGTCAGAGCTCGACAAGCTGCTTCTTTTTCCTCTTCTAGGTGGCTTTCCCGTTCCAGCTGTTGGAATTCCAGATCTTCATAACATCTCAGGGCTCCTTCTAGCATCTCAGACGTCTAGGAAAGAAGAGCAGTTACCATCACTGGATTTCATCTTCTCAAACAGCACCTTCCAATACATGAAAAAGATGGGTGAATCTGATCCAGAACTCTGCAAAATCCAAGCAGGTACTGCAATCTTCACTCGGATGATGGGATGCAACAACCATGTCTGAAGTCCTTCCACCAAAATTTGGCATTTTTATATTCCCAAATATTTGAATTTTGAAAAAAATTGAAAAAAAATTTGAACTATGGTGCTGGAGAAGACTCACTGCAAGGCGTTCAAACCAGTCAGTCCTAGAGGAGATCAACCCCGACTGCTCTTTAGAAGGCCAGATCATGAAGTTGAAACTCAAGTACTTTGCCCACCTAATGAGAAGGAAAGACTCACTGGAGAAGAGCCTCATGCTGGGAAAGATGAAGGGCAAGAGAAGAAGGGGACAACAGAGAAGGAGGTGGCTGGATGGAGTCATCAAAGCAGTAGGTGTGAGGTTAAAGGGACTCCAGAAGATGGTAGAGGACAGGAAGGCCTGGAGGAACGTTGTCCATGGAGTCACGATGGGTCGGACACAACTTCGCAATTAACAACAACAACATATTCCAAAACTGAGACCGCCGTTCAACCCAGTTAGGATCGCTTTTATCAATTTTGACTGATCTCAACAGCTGAGCAGGTCAGGCCCATGGGAACTCAGCTCAACATGAAATTCCAAGATCAGAGACCAGATGTGGCAGTCAAAGCAACAGCTCAGAAGAAGACATGTGCTAATTACCATCTGTATTAGGAGAGGTTTCCCGCGGGATTTATGGACAGGAACGATCTCCTGCTGAACACTGTATTTCTATATTTTTTTAGTAAATCATTTTATTTTCACTTATAATACCAAATAGGAAAATACAAAAGCAAATAATAGGGAACAAAGGGAAGGGGGGAAGAGAGAAGTGTGAAAAAGGGGGGAAAGGACTTCCAAATCCCTCTGTTGCAGTAAAATAGAGCATTAACATCAAACCTCAACTTTTTACATTTCTATAGTGGTGTGAACTAATCATTTCTCTATCTGCAAATCAGTCTAATCAGGAAAACCCAAAAATCAAAGCATCATTTTTTTCCCACCTCAAGCACAAAGTCCAGAAGCCATTTCCAAGTAGAAACAAAAGTACTTAGAATCTTTTCTTTGATCCAAACAGTCAATTTAACCACCTCTGCTAATGCCATCAACTTTTGTAGCCATTCGTCCGTGGTGGAAATCGAAATATCCTTCCATTTTTGTGCGTAGACAGTCTTGCTGCTATCAACACTGTATGGAACGGACACACACTTACTTCTTGTAGCTGCCTCTGCATCCGTTCACGCATCGACTCCGGCTGGCTGTTTAGGTGGATCTGCGACTCGGCATGTTGTCTCTGGAGCTCCTCTACCCTCTGACGTTCTCGTTGCAGACGTGCCTTCTCCTGCCAAAAAGAGAAGCAGGGCAGAGTAGCGTCACTACCTTTCCACGGCGATGTAAATATATGCAGCCACTCCTGCTGGTAGGAATAGATACACCTTCCTCGCCCAGAGATGATCTGTGCGCTGATAAGACTGCCTGGGAGGCCTTCTTCTCACCGATGGAGTAACCTCGGAGTTGAATTGAACAACTCCCCTTACTCGCTGGAGGCCATCAGGAATTCCAGCAGGTAAATGAGCAAGCTGGAATAGGAGGGATGGATCACTAGCTTCACGGAGTACGGAACGACTAAAAGCCACCATTGGAACTGGAAATCGTGTCGTAAGACGTTGCAGTCCTAAGTCGATTTCTGGCCTTTTTCGTGGCAGTCATTAAATGAACACAGCGGTCGCTAAGTAAACCAATTCATTTAAATGGGCATTTTTGCCACAAACCAGCAAAGATGTCAGAAACAAGTACAAAATGTTGTGAGTTACAGGTAGTGGCTCGGCTTACAACCGTTCATTTAGTGACTGTTCAGCAATGAAAAAAGGGACTTATGTTCATCTTTCACACTGACGACTGTTGCAGCATCCCCAGAGTCCCATAAATCAAAATTCAGCTGTTTGGCAACTGGCTCGTATTTATGACGGGTTGCAGTGTCCTGGGGGGGGGGTCATGTGATCCCCTTTAGCGACCTTCTGACAAGCAAAGTCAATGGTGGGAAGGCAGATTCACTTAACAACCAAGTTACCAATTTAACAATTGCAATGATACACTTAACAACTGAGACCAAAAAGATTGCGCAACGGGGCAAAACTCACTTAAAAACTGTCTCACTTAGCAACAGAAATTTTGGCCTCAGCTGTGATTGTTAGCCGAGGACTATCCATATAGTCAGGGGCAGGAAGTTTTATGCATTTATTCATTTGTTCGTTTAGAAAATGTATACAGCCACCCACCTAAAGTACATACGCTTGGGCAGCTAATAACAATCTACAGACACAAAAATACAACATTTTTTAAAACTGAAAAAGCAATGTGGCACACTTCCTTCCTTCCCTCCTTCTTCCTTCCTTTTTCTTTCTTTCTTTCTTTCCTTCCTTCCTTCCTTTCCTTCCCTTCCCCTTTCTTTTTTTCTTTCTTTCTTTTTCTTTCCTTTTTTCTTTCTTTCCCTCCCTCCCTTTCTTTCTTTCCTACATTTCTCCCTTCTTCCCTTTCTTTCTTTCTTTCCTTTCTTCTTTCTTTCCTGCCTTTCTCCCTTCCTTCCTCCCTCCCTCCCTCCCTTCTTTCCCATCCTGCCTCCCTCCCTCCCTCCTTCTTCTTTCTTTTCTTTCTTCTTTCTTTCTTTCTTTCTTTCTTTTTCTTTTTTCCTTCCTTCCTTCCTTCCTTCCTTCGTTTCTTTCTTTCCTTCCTTCCTTCCTTCCTTCCTTCCTTCCTTCCTTCCTTCCTTCTTTCTTCCTTTCTCCCTTCCTTCCTCCCTCCCTCCCTCCCTTCTTTCCGATCCTGCCTCCCTCCCTCCCTCCCTCCCTCCCTCCCTCTTTCTTCTTTCTTTTCTTTCTTTCTTTCTTTCTTTCTTTTTCTTTTTTCCTTCCTTCCTTCCTTTGTTTCTTTCTTTCCTTCCTTCCTTCCTTCCTCCCTCCCTCCCTCCCTCCCTCTCTCCTTCCTTCCTTCCTTCCTTCCTTCCTTCCTTCCTTCCTTCCTTCCTTCCTTTCCTTCCTTCCTTCCTTCCTTCCTTCCTTCCTTCCTTCCTTCCTTCCTTCCTTCCTTCCTTCCTTCCTTCCTTCCTTCCTTCCTTTCTTTCTTTCTTTCTTTCCCCCCATGGAGTATCATTCCATAGTTTGGTCACTAGGTGGCACTGGACTTGATAGGCTCTTGAGGGAATCTGGCATTTCCCTGTTCCTGTCACCTTGTGAGGCCTAAGATAACACAATCGGATCCAATCAAGTGCAGTTCCTTATCTGCTTACACGCAATAGACACAGATTCTTGCCAGACTAAAGTTAGAACCCTCCAACTTAATAGATACACCCTGGGAGATTCCTTGAACCCTCTCTAGGAAGCCACAGTGCTATTGCTGACATTCCCTCCCCTACTCCTTCTCCAGGTACACATTCTATCACACCTGTTCATGCCGGAGAAAGACATTAAAACTTCTAACTAACTTCTCCTCTCTTTTCACTCCTGTCTCTATTTCACCGAGACAGTTTGCATATTTATAACATGCAAAAATGGGAGAAAGGAAACATAAACGGGAAATGGATGAATAACTGGATGGATGAATTGGGAGGCCTTAAGAAGCCAGAATCCTCAGCTGTGTTTTATATCTGCTCTTTAAAGCTTAGAGTGGGATGAACACTATTGTAGAGAGTAAGAAAGATGACCTTGACACAGATATGTGAGCTATGTGCCAAAGCAACAAAAGGAAAAACACAGGTTAAGTTCAAAACAAACAGAAATATGCGGAAGAGATACAGAGGGACACCTCCCTAATTCACATGAATATAAAAGGAGGAGAAAAAGCACAATCAGACTTGCATGGATGTTATTGTAGCCACTCTCAATAAAAATAATCTTAGCCTTCCTTTGGAATTGAATTCTGGTCTGGTCTGTCTGGTGGGATTCACCACTATAGGAGCCCTGGTGGTGCAATGGTTAGAATGAAGCATTGCAGGCAAACTCTGCCCACAGCATGGAGTTTGATCATGACAGGGTTCAAGATTGACTCAGCCTTCCTTCCATCCTTCCAAGGTAGGTAAAATGAGGACCCAGATTCTTGGGGGCAATATGTGAGTAATGCTTACATTGTAAATCATCCAGAGAGTGTTGTAAAGCTGGGGTCCCCAACCTCTGGGTTGCAGCCCAGTACCGGGCCATGATGCATTCAGAACCGGAACACACAAGCAGTGGGCAAGCGTGCGTGCACAGCTCCACTTGCGCAAGTGGTGAACATGCACACTCATACGTGAAGCTCCATTTGTGGGAGTGGCGGGCACGCACATGCCACTCACACAGGACCATCCCCTCTCCCCCACCCACCCACCGGTCCACAAAGATGGAAAGATTGAGGACCATTGCTGTAAAGCACTATGGGGTGGTATATAAGCCTATATACTATTGCTATTCCTATAAAGCTGTGTTGAAAAACACACTAGCAGTGCACAGAAGCAAGACAGAGATTTTTGTGAGATCACTAAATTACAAAATCATAAGGTTTGAAAAGACCTTGAAGGCCTTCTATAGTAGTTCGCTTCCTACCCCTGCAGGGATCCACATTCCATTCCAGACCAGTGGGTAGTCCAAAAGCGGAATTTTTTCCAGCAAAGTTTGACTAGCCATTTGTCTGGGAAGTTATGAGGACAGAGATAAAATATCAACAGGCCTTCTGATAAGAGGAAATTAAGCAAGCCAAAGGACAGACTTCAAAAAGGGAAGAAAAACAAGCAGGCTGAGAGAAAAGATCAACAGGGATGTTAGAGCATAAAAGGTTAACTTTCAGTCCCGCTGGACAATGACCTTCGAAAGAGGCACACAAATCACAAAAACAAAATCTTTCACTTCCAGCAGTTTGAAGTCCTCCAGATAAGCGGAGTCCCATTCTCTCCAGCCAGCATGGGAATTTAGTAGAAATAACTTTGCTAACTTTTCAACCGTCAGCCGCTTTCTAATTCACACATCCCTGAGCCCCAGAGGGAAGGTGGGATAGGAGTTGTGGGACTGCTACTCCTGTTTCATCCACTGGTAGCTGGAAAGCGATGTAGGACATACTACTCAAACCCAAGACAAAGAAATAAATACTTGCAAGCCCCTCGTAAAGTGAAGGAAAGGGAGGCAGATGTTTTAAGCAGGACATGTTGAGCAATGGTGCTGGAGGATTGAGCTGTGGGCATTTTGCTTCCTGCTCTGCCTCTTTTGGGCATCCACCCTGTGTCCTGCAACTCATTCTGAAGCAGGATTCAACCATCAAACTCAACTGGCTTCTACTTAAGGAATTGGAAGAGGACAAACTATGATCTACTTCAAGCAGCCAGATGTCCTGATCCAGTCCAGAACTGAAACTGCAACAAGAGAATTTTGGGGAAAACTATAAGAAAAGCACCAGCTCACCTTCTCCCGTTCTTCGCGGCACTTCAGCTCTGTCTGCAGGAGACGTTCTTTCAGTTCCAGCAGCCGTTCCTCCTCCTGCTTCAGCGCCTGCCTCTCTTCCTGCAGTTCCCCTTCTAACAAGGCACCTTCCAGGTCCATCTGCCAAGAAGAGGAGGAGACAGGTCAGGAGAACCTTGCCAAAACATCTTGACGTGCCCCGATATGTTGACTGACGTAACGTCAACACAGCCACGGGGAGGTGCAGAGACGCAAAGTGAAGCCTACGAAACGGGAACTAGAAGGATCCAAGCATGTAAATGTCCAGACTTCCTGCCCAGAAAATGGCTCCCTCCACTGAGGTGAGCACCTTCGGCGTTGGCTGATGGAGATTTCCTGTCCTGTGGAGCAAACGAGTCCTTCTCTGTGTCCCTCTAAAGTGCCTCTGTTCTTCCTTGGGTGTGGGCCGCTCAACACTGGTTTTACAGGTGCTGATTGTTGTCCAATCAACAACCTCATGATGCAGGGAGGGAACTGAGTAAGCTAAGGTGTACCTCTATATTCAGCTCTTTCTTCCGATGATGCAGCTCCTTGAGCTGATTTTCAAGAGCTGAGATTTTCCTCAGAGCTGCACGCTGATCGCCTTCAGGATCACCACCAGTGCTTCCACTACAAGGATTCACATGCTGGGGAGAGAGTAAGGTAGAATCAGAAGTTTCAAGGCTTAATATGGCATCTATGCAAGACTTCCTAAGTTAGAAAAGACTTTTAGCAGTATGGATACAGCTTGCCCTAGTTTACATTTTCACGTGATAATTCAGGGTTTATTGACATCTGTATTCTGCTCAAGGTTTAACAATGGTGGTCAGCTTTGGAAAATGATACGCAGGTAATGCTCAACTTACAACCACAGTTGGGATCACCAAGGGCGTTGTTCAGTGAATTGGGCCCAATGACCTTATGACCTTTTTTGCCATGGTTACTAAGTGAATCATTGGTATTGTTAAGTGAATTACGTGGTCATTAAATGATTCCAGCTTTTCCCATTGACTTTTCTTATTGGAAGCCACCTGGGAAAGTTGCAAATAGTGATCACATGACCCAGGACACTGCAAGCATTGTAAATACACGGGGGGGGGGTGTGTTTCCAAGCATCCAAATATTGATCATGTGATCATGGGGACATTACAAATGTGAGGGCTGGTTGTAAGTCACTCTTTTGGGGGCCATTGCAATTTCAAACGGTCACTAAACAATTGGCTGTAAGTCAAGGACCAACTGTAATATAGTTATTCACAATCAATTAACAATACACTGAAAACCTATTCATTTCAACGTTGGTAAATCTTGATTTTTTTTTCCATTTGTATTTTAATCTTCTACCGTCTTTTTGTGTTGGTCCTCTTCTTCCTTCTCTGCTTGTATTTTATTTTTCTAAAATATTCAGTAAAAATGTATCTTAAAAAAGAATCAGGCATTGCACACACCACCAGAAAGCAAGCTTGTGTTCCGTAGCGGGCCTCGTTTTCATTAAGAAAGCTGATGATATCATCTTACTACACTTCTTGAAACGGCCCAAAAATTGCCAACCCAATTAAAAATGCATCACTACTGCAAGTCCCAATATAATCTGAGCCAAGAAAGGATGCTTTTGATAGAAGAAAAAGTCCTTAGTCCTTAGTGCTCTCTGAGCTTGGTACTTTTCTTGCAAACTTTTCATTACCCAATTAAGTAACACCATCCTTGCTGGAAGAGAGTGGGGTTTGCTCTTATCAATTTCTTGGTGCAGCCATAATGTCTGGATTCGCTTGAGAGCACACCCCACTCCTTTCACCACGGATGATGTTACCTAGTTCGGTCATGAAACGTCTGCAAGAAAACGACCAAGCTCAGAGAGCACCAAGGATCCCACGAGGTATGTTTTTATTCATTACTTAAATCAGAACAAGAGGAGGAGAGTTATAAGTTTTATGAGTTGGGCGTTAAGAAGAATTAGGTAAAGCTTTCTTAGCACCGGGTGCCAATACTCACCCCATGTTGGGCACTCTCTGTGCTACTGGCTTCATCATCTTCCACACAGCCACTGGAATGACTTCCTGGCGGGGAATCATTTTCAGAAGAAAGCGAATCCCCTTCAGCATTGCTCGGAGCCGGGGAACCCTCGCAATCTGGTGACTGGCTGCATTTCTGCTCGTCCAGAAGTTGACCCTTGTCCAAGGCTGCTGTATAAGGACACAGCTCGGCTTGGTTGAACAGCCCCATAGCTTTGGGGTTGACTGTCTTCAACAGCTCATGGACCCCGGGCTCGGCAGCTGTAAAGCACAGAGGCAGTTCCGTCACAGATGTAAGGAGTTTGACCGAACGACAATAAAAAGAAAAAAGAGAAATGAGGAAGGCTCCGCCCTAATATATATTGGAGATATCTGGGTTATAGGTAGGAAAAGATTGTGTTGCTGGAATTCTTTTAATTCTAGCCTTTTTCTGATTTAATTAAGGAGTGTCTGTGACAAGCTTCCTTGCCAAAGAAATTGCGTTTAGGCGAAGAACAAGCAGCTGACATGTTGGTTGACTACAATTCCCATATTGGTTCTTGGAAATTATACTTCAGCAATAGCTGGAATATGGTAGATTTCCCATAATGGTCTAGTCCAGGGGTAGGGAATCTTGGCTCTTTTGTGACTCGTGGACTTCAACTCCCAGAATTCCTGAGCCAGCCATGTTGAGGGGAAAGGGAGAGGTTTCCATGCTGAGCCATGCTGGCTCAGGAATTCTGGGAGTTAAAGTCCACGAGTCATGAAGGGGCCATAGTTCCCCCATGCTGGCTCAGGAATTCTGGGAGTTGAAGTCCACGAGTCATAAAAGAGCCAAGGTTCCCCACCCCTGGTCTAGTCCAATCTTTTGAGTAAGTCCACAAATCAGTTACCAGCCAATAGTATAATTAGACCTTGACGTATGACCACAATTGAGCGCCAGATTTCTGTTGCTAAGCAGGACAGTTGTTAAGTTAGTTTTGTCCCATTTTACGACCTTTCTTGCTGCAAGTTGTTAAGTGAGTCACGGCAGTTGTTAATTCAGTAACACCATTGTTAACTGAATTTGGCTTCACATCACATGACCCTGGGACACTGCAACCGTCACAAATATGAATCGGTGGCCAAGCATCAGAATTTTGATCATGTGACCATGGGGAAGCTGCGACAGTCTTAAGTGTGAAAAACGGTTGTAGGTCGCTTTTTTTCAGTGCCGTTGTAACTTTATTCACTAAACAAACTATCGTAAATCAAGGACTACCTTTAAATGTTTCGACCAAGTTAGAATCCTTGATCAGCTATGCCAACCTTGGTCTACATACCACATTCTAGACACCCTACAAAATAGTCCATGCGTTTGTGTGTGTGTGTGTTTATGTGTGCGCTTCCTCTGGTGATTCTACAAGTTGAATCATGAATGTTATCCTTTCACTCTTGGTGTTAATTTTTAAAAATATTGTTATTTCTTTAAATTGTTATCTGCCCTGTAGCTAATTCTGCTGACATCCCTGAGGTGGAGTCCAACTATTCCAGTGCACAAAACAGAAAAACGAACGTGTGAAAAAATGGGAAATGATTGAAAGACTTCGTGTGAATGGAAAGAAAGTTTGATCCGTTCAGAACTAGTCATTATCAAGTCAGCCCCAAACCCTTAGGTCAGGGGTCTTCAAACTTGGCCCTTTTATGACTTGTGGACTTCAGCTCCCAGAACGCTGGCTGAGGAATTCTGGGAGCTGAAGTCCACAAGTCATAAAAGGGCCAAGTTTGAAGACCCCTGACCTAAGGGGGTTTATATGTTAAACCCAGCACACTGATGTTGTGTTAAATCTGTTATACTCCCTCTCTATGAACACTTTTTTTTCAAGTCTTACATAAATAAAGAGGCAAAAAACTGGTTCTGACATTCTTGGGAGGCTGGTCTCTTGAGCAAGAACCGCCCTTTGAACACAAAAACACCTCATAAAGAAAAGAAAAAAACAGAACTATTAATTAGATTAATACAAATGCCAAGTTAATCCCTCCAGCTGTGGGATACATGCTGGAGCCGGCAGCTACAAAGAGAAGAGAGGACCTCTCTTAAAATGATGAGCTATCTGCCAAAATTGCTCCTCTGCCTTTGATCGCTTTTATTTTCTCCTGATCGGACAATATCGCTTAGGAGATGTTGTAAGTCCCAAACCATCATCCTCCCATCGTACCAAAAGCCAATTCTTCTTCCTGTCCTGATGACTAAGGTGGTCAACTACGGCCCCTTTGTGTCTATGGAGCTTCTCAGTCACCCACGTCATGGTTGTCCCAAAGGTGCTTTTTCCAAAGGCAACTGGACTTTCTTTGTTTTTCCTTGAAGACATTTTGCTTCTCATCCAGGAAGCTTCTTCACTTCTGAAGACGCTACTTGGATGAGAAGTGAAACGTCTTCAAGGAAAAACAAAGGAAGTCCAGTCGCCTTTTGGAGAAGCCTGTTTACAACTATGGACCCTTTATAGCTTATGGACTTCAACTCCCAGAATTCCTGAGCCAGCAGGATTCTGAGAGTTGAAGTCCACAGATAGTAAAGGGGCTGCAGTTGCTCACTCATGCCTTATTTTATAGTGTTATTTAGTCATCTGAGATGGATAAAACCAGTAGTGGGATTCAAATATGTGAACAACTGGTTCTCTGTGTGGATGCTGCTTCCGGAAGTCCATTCTGGGCCTGTGCAACAAAAAATTAGCTACCGGTTCTGCTGAAGCGGTGCGAACTGGCTGAATCCCACCACAGGAAGGAAGGGAGGGAGGGAGGGAGGGAGGGAAGGGAAGGGAAGGGGAGGGGAGGGGAGGGGAGGGGAGGGGAGGGAGGGAGGGAGGGAGGGAGAGAGGGAGGGAGAAGTGGTGGGATTCAAATATGTGAACAACTGGTTCTCTGTGTGGATGCTGCTTCCAGAAGTCTATTCTGGGCCTGTGCAACAAAAAATTAGCTACCAGTTCTGCTGAAGCGGTGCGAACTGGCTGAATCCCACCACAGGAAGGAAGGGAGGGAGGGAAGGGAAGGGAAGGGAAGGGGAGGGAGGGAGGGAGAGAGGGAGGGAGAAGTGGTGGGATTCAAATATGTCAACAACCGGTTCTCTGTGTGGATGCTGCTTCCGGAAGTTCATTCTGGGCCTGGGCAACAAAAAATTAGCTACCGGTTTTGCCGAAGTGGTGCAAACCGGCTGAATCCCACCACTGGATAAAACCTACAGAGATGGTCATATCTTTACCTCAGGCAATTATATATGATTGATGATCCCCATGCTTGGGACAAGAGGCGAACTGATCCTTGGTCTTTTGACTTCAGGAGGTGAAAACATTGCATCTTGCCCAAAGCTTTCAGCAGGCTAACAATGGTAGTTATTCGCACACAACTCAGGGCAATGTGCATTTTGTCAGCCTCACCTGCTTAAGCCAGACGGCACAGTACATGTCACACTGGTGAGACAACCGCATAAAAATATATTGGATGCTGCCCAGAAAATTGTAGTTACTAAGTGGTGTATATGTAGATTAAATAAATAAGAATAGTACATCGGCTTGACATCCAAAGGGGGGGGGGAGGAGGAGGAGGAGGACGAGGAGAAAATATATGTCAGTATCTAACACACAATAAGAAAATAAAAATCTGAACTGTAGTCCGTGAGAGAATTTTCTTGTAGAAAGCTTATTGAAATAAGGAAGCTTAATTTAATTTTAGGTAAACTCATCAATTATTGTTTGTTCTTCTGATTTGTATATGCTTTAAAACAATAATCCCATGGGTCTATTTCCTGATGCTGTTAATTGCACACCATTTTAATCCTAAATCTGTTTGCACCCAGCGTGGCACATGGTTCACTTGCACATCTTCGATAAATAGGCATCTTCTTCCCTAAAATTAATTCTGCTGACTGCCAGCAGTTCGATCCTGGCCGTCTGAAGGTTGATTCGGCCTTCCATCCTTCCGAGGTTAGTAAAATGAGGACCCAGATTGTCAGGGGGCAACAGCTGACTCTGTAAACCACTTAAGAGAGGGCCGTAAAGCCCCGTGAAGCGGTATATAAGTCTACGTGCTGTTGCTATTGCTATTCCTCCATTGACTCTGCTTGTCAGAAGCCAGCTGGGATGGTCAGACATGATGACCCCATGACCCCAACCATCTTAAATATAGGCCAGTTGCCAAGCACCCAAATTTTGATCACATGACCATGGAGATGCTGCTGTTGTAAATGGGAGACCTGGTCATAATTCACTTTTTTCAGTGTCATTCACTCGCTAAATGAATGATTGCAAGTCAAGGATACCTACACCAGGAAGTAGACGATCAGTGAAGACATTTCTCAGACGAATCCATACACTCATTTTATGTCATTAACAGGCCCCGACTTGTTTTTCTCTTCAATCTCCCCACACTTTGCTGACTCCACCTTTCTACCTGCCGAGGCAAAGTGGCCTGATCCTAGATCCGAGCCGTTGGCAGAAAGATTCAAAAAAAGGGGCACAGCTCTGATCACACAGTCCTTGCCACCATCTTGACTTTTTTGACCCCCTTGATGGACCTTTTCTCCAGCCTTGAATGTGGCCCCCAGAAATCTGCAAAAGTAGGGAACCCTGCTATTATTTTTAACCTGACAGCAGCAGGAAATGATTGCAAGGCTATCCTACTGGAAGAACATTTCAATGGGGATGAAACTGAATTTTGATTTTCATACAAGATTTTGAAGGAACGTGGTCATAGCTTTCAAAAACTCAAGGGGTATCCATGACCCCGACACTGTTTGTGACTTCCATACCCCGGAGAAGAGGTTCACAGCTCCACAGGTAGGACTATTCCCCAAAAGTGAGTGGGGATAGAGACAGCTTGAGGAGGGGAAGGGGGTATTCAAGAGTTTTAAGGAACAACATTGATTTTATAGACCTAATTTATATTCCATCTTTCTTCAAGTGCTCAAGACAAACACAACAGTCCTTCTTCCATTTTGTCCTCCAGCATTCTGGTGAACATGTTGGGCTAAGAGGGAGCCTGAAGATCCCCCCAGTAGCTTCTGTGAGTGAAGAGAAATTAGAATCTGGATCTTCTCATTCTTAGCTCAGTACCTTCAGCACTACCCAACCTGGATGTTGGACTGAGAGGGAATGGCTGGTTCAAAGTCTTGCCAGGAGTTCCCATGGCTGAGGATGACCTAGAACCTGGGTCTAATTGCTCCTAGTTCAACGTTTTCATCACTACAGCATCCATCTCTAAGACCCAAGATCAGTGGTTCTCAACCTTTTTAATGCCGTGACCCCCAA